TTTATGAAAGTTCGCCAGTCCGCAGAAAAATTTTTGGAATTTGCCAGTCCACAAAATTTGTTTGTGGAAATTTACTGGTCCATGTGCCCAAAAAGATTAGGGCATATTGCTCTATACATTACATGCAAAGTGAATACAATACATGTTTAATGCAAGTTGGAACTATAAATGAAGACATAATTTGAAACATCTTTGGTGCAAGAACTTTACCAAAAACCAACTATAAAGTATAATACAAATTTAAAAATTCATAAATATATTTTTTTAATTTTTTTTCTGGATAATAATATTTATAATCAATAATTGGTTCATTTTTTGCAGGTGAACTCTCCACAATGTACGCTACTGTTCACTCGTATTTGAAAACGCTATAATGTACATTATCAAAGTAAGTTGCAGTATATAGAAGCTGTAGATGAAGACACAATAACAAATTTAATGAATCATGCAGAATTCGCAACCCTTGATATCTGATGATTCGCTATCTGCTTTGGAATTAAGTTTATTGTATTCTTTATTGCCAATGGCTTTTTCTCTCATGCCATGCTGGCATTTTCTCATGACACCATGCAGGAACTACGTGTCTTACTCCTGCTATAATTATGAATTCGTGCGAAATTTTCCCATTTCACCATGCAACCATTACCATGATTTTTCGTTCGTTATGCGGTACGTCATTTAGAATATAGCCACATTTTATTTGATTTTTTTGGAAAAAAGAAATTCTGAAAAAAAAGGTTTATCTGAGATAGCAAAAGGTTTTTGCCGGGGAAAATTATGCACAACAAAGGTTGATGGTTATACTGTAGTTCCATAGCAATTATTCCATAAATTAAGATGTTCCTTCATAGCCTTAGATTCTTCTGATATTGACTGATTCCGAATCAATTCTCCTTTATCGGAAATTTGAAAAATATCTCAGTAACCATATAAAAACTCCCATGCAGAAATTTATGGAAGTATGATATTGACATACGGAGATAATTCAAAAGGGGCCAACCAAATTAAAAGCCAAATGGTGCAAGAGAACAACAAAACTTTTTTTTATATTCCATAAGGATTGTCTCCCGCGTCGTCGTCGTTTTCTCTTGAAACTTAAAAAANGATATAAAAATTGAAAATCCCTCGAATATATTTTCAAAACTTTTTTTTCTAGATAATGATGATTGAAATCAATAGTTGGTTTACATTATCTCATTCAGTCGAACTCTCTATATACCAGTGTTCCCCCCAACCCATGGTCCGCAGAAGTTTTTTGCCCGTCTGTGGGAAATTGACAGCATAATGAATGTATCAAAATTCAGATGATGTCTGTTCTCTTTGCAAAAAAATTTGGAAGGACAATGGCAGTTGAAACCCTCTGACAAAAACAAAAGTTGGCTTTTCTCCTATAATAACACTTCAGAAAAATTTTAACCTGCACATTATACATTATTTAATACATTATTTTAGTTTTTATTCAGAAGAATCTCTCTCCAAGCACATCAGTCTAATTGTTTGATGACATTCTTAACTGAATATTTCTTGTAAATACCTGCATGATAAAATTCAAGCAAAACTTTGGTGAGTCTGCAAAAAGTTTATGAAAGTTCGCCAGTCCGCAGAAAAATTTTGGGAATTTGCCAGTCCACAAAATTTGTTTGTGGAAATTTACTGGTCCATGTGCCCAAAAAGATTGGGGCATTTTTTGCTCTTTACAATTCATACATGCAAAGTGAATACAATACATGTTTAATGCAAGTTGGAACTAGATGAAGACATAATTTGAAACATCTTTGGTGCAAGAACTTAACCAAGAACCAACTATGAAGTAATACAAATTGAAAAATTCATAAATATATTTTTGAAACATTTTTTATGGATAATAATATTTATAATCAATAATCGGTTCATTTTTTGCAGGTGAACTCTCCACAATGTACGCTACTGTGCACTCGTATTTTCAATCGCCATAATGTACATTATTATAAAGTAAGTTATAGAGAAGCTGTAGATGAAGACACAATAAAAAATATAATGATCCATGCAGAATTCGCAACCCTTGATATCTGATGATTCGCTATCTGCTTTGGAATTAAGTTTATTGTATTCTTTATTGCCAATGGCTTTTTCTCTCATGCCATGCTGGCATTTTCTCATGACACCATGCAGGAACTACGTGTCTTACTCCTGCTATAATTATGAATTCGTGCGAAATTTTCCCATTTCACCATGCAACCATTACCATGATTTTTCGTTTGTTATGCGGTACATTTTGAATATAGCCACATTCAATTTTTTTTTTTGAAAACGAAATTCTGAAAAAAAGGTTTATTGGAGATAACAAAAGGTTTTTGCCGGGGAAAATTGTGCACAGCAAAGGTTGATGGTTATAGTTCCATAGCAATTATTCCATAAATTGAGATGTTCCTTCATAGCCTTAGATTCTTCTGATATTGACTGATTCCGAATCAATTCTCCTTTGATGATTTTGGAAAATATGTCAGTAACCATATAAAAACTCCCATGCAGAAATTTATGGAAGTATGATAATGGCATAACCTCTATTAAGTTTTCCCCGGTTGGTTTAATTTTCGGTTTACCACGTTCTCTTGTTGTTTTGAAAAAAAATATAAGGTATTCCTAACAGAGGGCGCAGCAGCAGCAAAAGAGAACTTTGAATTTTTTAAAAAAAAACAAAAACAATGACTGGAAGAAAGTAATTTCGCAATTTAATTTCCAGCAGTATTTCTCTCACAAGAACAGCACATGCTGTATATATATATATATCCTTCCAGGTAACCACGGGCAACGTTGTTGATGTACATTCGCTGCGCAAAAACGTGTGTTTATACTGCTTCGCCAAATTAACTCCTGGAAGAAAATATAAATAAAAGAAAGAAAGCCAGGGGGTTTCGTAATTCGACTTTCCTGGGCCTGCGTAGTAGTCAAGTGTCCGGGGTATAAACGGCATGAATGGCCTTGAAGCGCTATGTTTAGCGGGAAGTCCAGTGGACAGGAGCCGTCGACGACGAGTTCAGAAATAGCGTTAGTTTTATTAGATATAGGCGGAGGGCTCTTATTTGAACATATTCGTGTTTATAAGATAAGTAAAATCCCCGCGGATACCTTTCAGCTTTGTTTTCCTAAGAATAAATGCTATGATTGGTGGCATGTTTTCTGCGATTATATTTTGTCTGCTTTTCTTTAATGAATGGCGATGGTTATATTGCCAAAGGATCTAATGTTCGATTATTTCTCGACCACTTCTCCAATTTTTCTCTTTCAGGTCGAAATGAAGAGAAGGCGGGAGTTTAAAAAATGCAGGAATGATTTGAGGCGGGAAATTCAACAGATTTTGACCTGCTGCTGCGCTAAATTCATTTGAATTGATTTGTATATGGTCATGAAAAAAATCTATTCAACAGCCAAGGAATCAAAGCTCTGAGAAAATAAAATCGCGTGAACTCAAAATTTTTAAAATTTTCAAACCTTTAGAAATGTGTCCCGTATTGTGCCAATAACCAACCGTGCGAGTTTTGTAAGAATGTTGTAGCAGTAAAGAAAAGCGAACAAATATACATATAAAATAAATATATCTCAATTCTCAACGCAAATTTCTCAGTTATGAACTCAGCATCATTTGATCAAGGTCAGAACGGCAAGAAATACGAAAGACTTGAAATGATTCGGAAGATTCCGGCTAAAATTTTTGATAACCGAAAGAATTACAGTACGGGAATATGATCATAAAAATATTTCCACGAGATGAAAACGGGTCTCGATGGGCCGAAAGTTTCTTTCCGCGCTGATTTGGTTGAAGAAAAAGGAATTATTTCTCGTTGAAGAGCAAACTTTGCTGAAACAATAATAATAACCTTGACATACTATAATGGCAACCTTGTTCATGCGCTGACCTCAGATAACCCACTTTTATCCTGCCTGAAATGGCAAAAATAAAAGAGCATTGATAACCCCAATGGACCTTGGAGACAATTTACTGCAATTGCTCCAAAGCGATTTGGGGTGGTCCAAAATCAGCACTTTTGACTTTCTTCGTAGAACGTAGGTGCATTAATCATCTTCTGTTGACCTTCATTACCAGACAATGCCAGCCGTATTTTGCAAGAAGGAACTATTCAGCCTGGTTCTGTTTTTTGAAGAAGTGTGATCCTTCCAGTTCTTTGTCTTGCAGCACACGGTCCCAATTCAAATCAACAAATTAAAACCCAATAATTTTTCCAATGGCTCACTTTATTCAGAAAGCTCTAACTTCAATTCCTTGACATCAAGGCTGGTAATTTCAATGAAATTGAACCTTAATGGCTCATTCAATCCATAGCTAAATTTTAGCTTTGAAGAAACCATATTTTTGAATGCAATTTTTGCCATAAATGACAACACAAAGAAAATCAATTTGCCAAATGCAAATTATTATTTTGTGGGGAGAAATGAAAAATTTGTCAGGATTAAGCAGAAAATGTAACCTTACATGGCAATGTAGTGAATGTACACAGGATTCATTTCTCCACTAAAATTCAGCATTAGCGCAGCTGAGCAGAATATATTTGGCAGACAAATTCATCTTTCTCTTTGGGTTCCCATATTCAATGGTTGCCAACACGGAAGTCTCACAGAAAGCTTGTACAATAGTAAATGGCAGGAATTGAAGGAAATTGTTGACATACATGTCATTCCATCAACTTGAATTCCTTAGGCTTTAAAGCTGGAGAAGTAATGCTCTGTCCATTACAATAAAAATTCATGCAATTAATTTTGCACCATGCACAGCCATTTCTGCAAAACTTGGCAGAATAAGAGCTGGCCCGCTTGTTAGACAAAAACAACGAAAACACGGCAGGGGTACATTTTCTCAATTTTCTGGGTACATCTCATCTGATTTGCAGGGGCACTAAACGGCTGTGAATTGACATTTTACTAGAAAAATAACACTGAAATGATATGAAAAATCATGTTTATTCATCAACGTGCGAAAGAAACAAAAAATTGCATTATTGCATCTATCGAATGCACACTTTCGTCGACATCTTTGTCAGCACAGAGCCCAGCAACTGATTCCCCCCATAAAGCTTCAATTCGGCCTCGGTGACCTCATAAACCTTGGCAAGGCTGTCGACATCGACGAATGGATTCAGCCCCGTGAAGCTCGTCACTTCGACGTCACTTCCGAAACATTCCACTGCTCTAGTAAACCTCTCAGTCGCCTCTTCCCGCGTCCCGCCGCAAACCAGCACCACGAGTCTTTCTTGAGCTGCTTCCGGATCCGCGAAATTGATTCCGAAGCATTTCAAAGCTTCGCCGACACGCCGGAAACGCGACAACCGGTAAATGATTTCTGCGTGGAAGCTGTTGGCAGTGGTGGCGTTGCGCAGAGTCGCCAGTTGCGCCGCCGTCACGGCGGCGGATAATTGGGCGTCGGCGAGGACTAAACTAGCGGGAATAACGGCTGCGAGAGTCAACAGCGTCTTGACCTTGTGTGGTTCCAGAACCTGACTATTCTTGGGTGACACAAGGGCGTAGCAGGCGAAACACTTGTCATCAGTCAAATGGGAATCCAAAACGAGGAATTTTGGCACGGCTTCGTCGCTCATCTTCTGCCGCTTTGCTGGGTTTTCTTCGTCTTCGGACATTTATTCCTACGGATGAAGAAATTTACAAATTACACTCCATTCTACAGAAAAATTCAACTTCTTCCAATTTCAAAGAAAATTACGATGATGTTCGTTTGTCATGACAAATAAAATTTATACTTCATTGCATGCAATCAAAATCATTCCGTGACGTGGAAAGCTGCTCATTTCACTAAAGAACGTAATTACGGTACTCTTTCTTCTCAGCGAACAATAAATATTGGACTGACCGGTGAAAAAAAGTTTTAATTCAAACCAAAAAAAAAAAATTCGCGAAAAAACATTTTTTACAGTAAATCGAAATGATATTTCGTTGAAACATTCAGACGGTTGCTTCAACAAAACATCCAAGTTCTTTTTTGTTTACGAAAAAATTACAATTTTCATTAAGGAGCAATTTAAAATTTTACATCGTCCGACAAATTTTTTCCTGCGTATAAGAAGATCAAAATCTTTACCATTGCAGAAGAAAATCATACGTTTCAATCTGATGAGGACATTAACTACAAGTATAGAGGCCGTAACAGAGCATCAAAGATTCGATTGCAACGAATAACGGAAATCACTTCTAATACTTTTTGAACGAACAGTCAATAACTTGAAATGTGCTCTTGTTCCAAAAGAGTAGCTCAGTAATATTTTTGCGTTCAGCGACAAAATTTTCGAAGCGATTTCAAAAAACGCGGTAAGGACCTCCATCCAAAAAGCCAGCTTTCTTTAAGTAACAGTTCGATTGAGAAATTTTAAGAAAAAAGTATTGTTTAACAATTTCCTGCTTGTTTGAGTGTAACACTGTTATTAAGGAATAACTTCGAACAACTCACGATAACGTACAGATGCGCACCTAATCTTCCGAGAGTTCCTGAAATATTTTCAAAATAAAAAAAACCATATTCGCAGACAGATCACATTCAACATTTCCGCTTCTCGAGAAATTCGTCGTTTGAAATTCATCTCGTCCGCTTCTTCAAGTTTCTTTCCAAGAAGTGGCACGCTTGCATTTTCAAAATGAGACTCAATTTTCCTTTTAACGATAAATTTTCTTACTTTCATTAGGGTATGATTAGAAATCGTCATACCAATCGGAACTTCCGCGCCAAAAATTACCAAGAATGTATACTGAAGATAAATTTCAAACGAGGAAGTCTCGAAAAATAGTAGTCAATAAGCCAAATATAAGAAATGCAAGGAAAACGTTCATTCAGCAACCCTGGGTTTAGAAAAAAAAAAAAAACGACCACTTTTCCACCGTAATCGGCCGATCTACGCATTAAAAATCTTTCAGAAGAGAGAGACTGATCAACCAATAAAAAGCTGAATAATTTGAGCGACGGAGTAAAAATCCGCGAGCGTTAATCGTCACGTCAATCAAAGCTGATTTCTAGACCTTCGATACTTCAAAAACAGGGATGTTTGTCATCCATCACTGCACCTTGAATAAAATAAAAATCCGCACCCAGGAAATCACACGTCGACATGAAACAAAGAAGCATATTCCACAGGGCGGCTAAAACCCCTTCACTTCAACAAACTGAAATAAAAACAAGCAGAAGATTTTTTCACGAACATCTTCCACGCACTGTTAGTCAATAGCAACGTATCTCTTTGAGTATTGCTCATATTTTTTTCAAGCACCGCAAATGATTTTCTGGGTTTTATTTTAGAAAAAAAAAAAAGTCCTTGTGCCATTCCCGCAAGCCTCTTCCTCGTGCAAAAATTTCGTCTCAAACTGTACATGCAGAAGTGCCGTACAAAAATTTCACAATGCATAACAGTGGACTTTCCTCTTCTTTGCACACGTTTCAGGGTAGGCTACCAGTTAGCACCCAAGTGAGCTCGTCAAGCTGACAAAATAAAATATATGCCAGAGTCAGGAAAAAAACATCACAGGGATTTTTTCGGCATCGGCATTCCTTCCCGCTTTTACACATTTTTTTTTCCCCGAAAAACCCTTCGGGATCATAGATACTTGTGACTTTTCCCAAGTAAGAAATTGAAGAACATCACGGAGCTGACAGGATTACAAGGTAAAATCTCAAAATGAGATTACACCATCACACAATGGTGAGGCTGAAATTACACAGCTTCCGATCGGATTCGATTTTTTTTCGCAGGAGTCGTAAAATACCCGTTAAAATCCTAAATCTAAACGATGCAAAGCTGAAGCACGAAAAACCAGAAGCACTTGAAAGAAAAAAATCTTGATCCACAAAATATAAAACTATCAGCAGTTCAAGTCCAAACAGCAGTAGGTATAAGGTATTCTTTGGACCCAACATCCGGCTGAAGACATTCTTCTTCCAAGAAGGCATGCGGCATCTGAACCAAATAGCCACGAATGCCCTTCAGAACCTCCCGAGCTGTGTCCATGTCGCTGATAGCCAGGGGAACAGTTCGCTGCATTTCTTTCAAAGCCGCAAATGATTTCGCCTTTGAAAAAGAAGATGAAAACACATGAAAAAATACAATTCACAATCCCTAAAATTTGACGAATTATCAGAAATGAGTGTTTTTCACGAGTCAACTTCATTTGAAGCGGTTCCCAAATTATCATGCGTTACAAGTTTTTCGAAGATCATCGAATTTTCACAAGGTTCCATTTGACCCAAGTCAGAATGAGTGAAATAATTTTTCAATAAATTATGCCGTTTTACATAAATGAAGCTTCGTGGAGTGTAGCAAAGTTCAAGCGACGCGTGGACGATATTAGAAGGAGTCACTAACTCCGTGATGCTTTCAAGACACAAGAACTCAAATAAGTTATGAGGGAAATTATGCAGGAAATTTTCTTCTTGAAATTTTCGATGCTCTCTCATTAGCAAGTTGATTTAAAAAAACAGAACAAAAAGCTTGTTCCGTTCCATCCGGTACTTCCACGTTTTATCAAGAAAAAAAAAATTAAAACGAGCACAAGAGATATTCAGCAACAAGATCAAAACCTTATCTGTCGGCATGACGCTGAATGTCTTCTCATAAATTCGAGTATTGTTCTCGGCAGTGGCTAGCCATACGTTATTCCAGAACTCGGCCGCTATAGGATCTGAAACGTCGTAGTCCTCCCTCATCACAGCCGAGCTATTGGTCTCATTCTGTTCCGGTAGTAGTCCCAAGTGTTCTTTAAACAACTGCTTCCTGAGACTGCTCGCATACTTGCTGACCTGCACTTCCACTCCATTCATCACGCCTTCAATCATTTCTCCGTCCTGCCAAAAATAATTCAGTATTAAAATGAAGAAAGAAAAAAAGGACAGAATGGATTCCATTACGTGAGCACGGGATTCGAAAATAGTTTTGGTATGCTAAACTACCGGAATTATCAAAGTCTCTGGGATGCCGCACAAAATAATCTTCAAGAGACATCCCAGCGACATCTATATAATAAGATCGCTTCATCAACTACAGTATAGCCCTAAAAAAGTCTTTACGAGCAGAAAGAAAAAACTTGAAAGTTTCTGTTTTCCTCGCGTAGATTTCGCCGACACATGATTTTCGAAGGATTCTAGTGGAAAATAATTGAAAAGAATACCTCGATGATCACAGCAACTTCCGAATCCCGAGTTCCCAGCATACTCCTGTCATTGATGTTAGCAGAGCCGCAAATAACGACTCTGTCATCGACGATCAACAGCTTCGAATGGACGTAAATCAACTCTGTCACCTGCTCAACATCCGAACAATTTGTATTCCCGATCATTTACGAAATTGAAAGAAACTGACGCACCGGTACACCATTCAGTTCTGCGTGCGTCCGTAATCCAAAAAAGCCCACATAATTTTCCGGACTTTCCACACCTTTATCGCGTAATTTCTGCAGCAGCGAATAGGACCCTCTGCTCATGGATGCGTAATTCCAATGCGTTATCACCTAAATTAAAAATCATAACAGTTTTTAGACAATGCGGAGATAAAGAGCCAGTTTTAAACCGGTTCAAGAAATGTTCCTGCTCGACGATTTATAATTTTCTCAAGGCCGAATACAATAGAATATTATAGATTGGTTCCGGAAGTTTATTTCAATTTATCCAACATTCTATTTTTCTTATGTTTAAAATTCCTATAAATGACTTCAAAATGGCTTTCCCATATTATCGCTATCCGAAAAAGTCTCTCGAGTTGATATGAGCAATTTTCCGACCTCGGTTAAATACAAATAAAAAATTCATGAAGAAAAAATCTGACGATGTGCGAACTCAAAATATGCTGTTCCGATTTCTAATATTCTTCTATAGGCTTTTTTCTCAACATGCTCTTCGGTCATTTTCCGTGGGTTTTCTTTTTTCAAGACGTAACAGTTCCAGCTTAATAAGCTCGTGCAAGATATTTCTGCACTGTCATCAGGCAACAAAGACGGAAAATAGTGAAGTTCATATAAATCAGAAACGGATGACGCGAACCTGAATCGCAGTTCCTCCCGGTGTGCCGACTTGTCCCTCAAAGCCCGGCAACAACGGCATAACGACGAAAACTCTAAATTCTTCTCCATCCTTGAACGCTTTCCAAACTCTTTCGAAAATTGATTCAGCGATCAGATTTTCCGTTCCTGGGGAAGCTCCAGTCCCAGTTGAAACGAAAAACTGGTTCTCGACGTATATGTAATGCTTGGCATTCAAAATGGTTGCTCGATAAGCTTCGTGTATACTCTGCTCTTCGAGTTCTACACCAACGCTCCATTCAGACGCACTTCGAAGGACCTGATATCGATGATCAAGATTTCAGAAGTTTTTAAACTGTCATACATGGTTCATTTATTTGTTTCACAAAAAATCACGAACCTGGCATTTCACGTTGAAGACAGGAGCTTTGAGTTTCGGAATACTAATTGGATCGTCTCCTAGGTTGTCATAACTTTTCGGGAGCAAGAAAGGATACTCGTCATTCTTGGAGAACTTTTCGATCTAATGAGATTAGGTACGAAAGCGCTGAAAATCTGTCAAGATAATTAACACAAATCCCGAAAAAATCTACCTTCGCAGCATTCCACCGTTGAATAAAATGCCGGGCAACATCCCGGGCCGCTTTTCCTTGAACCATCGTCGCAATGTCATGCCAAGGCATTCGAGGTGTTGTCGTTCTATCCACCAAGTCTTAAAAATTGAATAAAACACGGATTTAATAAAACACGGCGAAAAGAAGCACAAAATTCGATCTAATAAATTGTAGACATCAAATCTTTAAGTCATAAAAATTGTCTGCCTGAGTTTTTGGACTGGAGAATTCGAAAACTCTTTTTTCATGATTTACTCGCTTCGGGACATTCGCTTCATTCCTTCAATTTTGATTTTCAGGAAGTCACGAGAAATACGAACTCACCTTTGTACGGTGAATCGAGATTTGAAAAGTCCTTCACGATGAAATTCGCGTAATCTTTGCCCATCCACAGTTTGGATGACCCAAGTAGAGATTTTCTCAAATCGACCTCGTCTCCACTAGGTGTAAAGGCCATATTTACCATTTCCACAGATTGCACCGCCACGGTTTCTTCAACCACCAAGGTAACACTGAAATCAGTTTGGATGACCCAAGTAGAGATTTTCTCAAATCGACCTCGTCGCCACTAGGTGTAAAGGCCATATTTACCATTTCCACAGATTGCACCGCCACGGTTTCTTCAACCACCAAGGTAACACTGAAATGAACAAAGGATGTTACACACACTAGCGAAAAGAAGCTGTTTTGAGAATTTCTAGGTTCGGAAGTCCAACGTTACTTCCAATAGAGAAAAATTTCAAAATATGAGCAGCATAACGATTCTTTTGCAACATGTCACTTCTTCGCAGAACGCAGGGTTGTTAGTGAAACAGTAAGTATATATGATACACGGACGTCGTTGAGCATTACTCGCAAGCGGACATAGTTATCAAATATGGGAGAACTCTTCCGACGACAATATTATCTGCAGCAATAATCAAAATACTGTACCTGTAAAAGGATTTTCATGTTCTCAATGGATTTCAAAATATATCCTCCATGAAGGATTACCGCATTATACTGTACATAATATAAATACCCATGCTTTAGCAATACTCGTAACTCGATCGCACAGAACAATATGTCATCATTCATATTAATTACACCTGCAGATGATAGCATAGTACAGAAAATAAAAATCAACGACGATCACTCACTCGTTGGCGACCACGGGTACGTCTTCCGCCTCCACGTCCGGCGCCACTTCGCCGTCATCGATTTCCTTGGCACCTTCTTCCTCCTCCTTCCGCGCGTCCGACGAGGTGCGGACTTTGAGCGCAATTTTATTTCTCCACTCCTTGCCCGTACTGAAGGCTTGACGAAGCGCTCTCACACTCGATGCCAATGAGGACTGGCGATCAGGCGGCGGAGTGTCGCCTTTGACACGCTCACTCGAGTCGTCCGCAATACTGTCCACGTCATCATCACCGCCGACGTTGGGCACTTCTGGCTCGACGGGGACGTCATCAGGGTTTTGCACAACAATCGTTTCGACTCGGTTCTCGGTGTCAACGACATCAACGCCGTTGGTCTTGAGCGTGCTGACGGACACTTGGTGAGTAGCTTTGGCAAGTTGGAAAATGGTGGACGGCAAGGCTCCACGAGGCGCAGACGACGACGTGAGTGTGGTCGGTGGCATGAATAGTCCTCCTATAAAAGAAAAATAGTTCATTGACTGAGACATGAGATGCTCTTTTCAAGTCAGAATATGTATATTCAAGATGGCATTATGAACATTTGATTTTTCAACTCCACAAACCTCGATGATCACCTCCTCCACCAGAACCAACGGAGCCCAAGTCGATCAGCTTGTGCTTGGCATCATCCCAGCGTCCATAACACAAATCAATTCCTCCAACGAAAGCAATCTTCTGGTCAATTATCACCAGTTTCTCATGGTGAGCCCAGTAAATAGTACCGCCAGACAGGTGATCAGGATGACGAACAACTTTGATGTTTGCATGCTTAGCCAGTAGTCGTTTCTGAAGGAAACATTCCAAAATTGGCACTCGAAGAAGTTTGGCATAATCGTGATGATCCTACCTTTGAGTACCAACTGTTGATGCCCAAAGCGAGTTCAACTTCTTTGTACAACATGACAAAAATCTTGACACCCTGTTCGGCTTTTCTCTCAAGAACAACGTCCAGTCGCCAGGCTTCACCTTCGAACATCGGTCTTTTCAGGTATATTTCCGGGGTTAGCCACCAGTCGGCAATGTAGATTTCTTCCGTGGCTGATTCAAGTGCATAGGCTACAGCTTCCATGTACGGCGCACCATCGACGAACCAGCTGGCGTAGGTGTTTTCTCGTAAAGGAGCATACGAACTGTACCGTTGCGATTCGATGAATTCTTTCCCTATAAATTTAAAGCAATGATCAGTAAGCAAGAACCAAAAACGTGTGAAAATTGTACCATCCACGATTGGGCAAAAATCACGTGTCATATAACCTCGATGCTCAAAAAAAGAAAAATCCTCATACAGTACATTGAATTATCGGTGATTACCCAGAACAGATTTTCTCAAATTACTTTTCTTGTACTTCCCGAAGTGTTACGAAACTTGGAGAAAGCTGTACTTAAAAGTGAATGAGCCGGTCCAAATGCGAAATATGAAATTTTGCAGCGGAAACAAATTTAATGAAAAGGGTTGCACAAATCTAATATCACAAGGCTTATGGCGAAAAGCGTGATTAACATTTGAAATCTTAAAATGTTACTCGAATTTCACCTTCGAGGCCACAAATATTTCTGAAAAAGGCTACAGAATCGCTGATTTCTTGAGAAAGTTATCTGTTGCAAATTGATATACTGTACTTCGTAAACGTCTTTACTTGGCCATAAAACATACGTGCAAAAACATTACAGAAGTGCAGTGAGAACAAAAGGAATACTGCAAATCAACAGTTCTCAAGTGCAAGGAGTGAGTTGCACAAAATAATTTGGTCATGCCAACAATGAAACTTACAATTTTTTCACAGGAGTGTTTGCTTCACTTAAAAAAAAGAAGCACGAAATGAAGTATTTAATACACTTCGAACGTTAATTTTTCAAGAAAGCCATCACAATTAGCCAATACCGATCTCAAATAAGGGGAGTATTGCATTTTCTCACCTTTACTTTTCGCCATCTTCAGAATCTCATCTCTCCATTCATTCATTTTGCGCTTCGTCCAACATCGAATGACCAAACTCCTGTAATGAAAGGAGAAAAAAATCGAAATGAACCAAAAACTGCAGCAAACATACGAAATTTCAATTACCTGGACAAATTAGAAATGATGAGCCCGTGAGGCACTTGCGTTTGGCGAATGCCCCTCCCAACTTCAAAACCCTGATCAAACAACATGATTGCGTGAACCTTCCCGGTTGAGGGTTGCAAATAACCCAGCCAGGTGTCTTTGACGATGAGCCAGCGATGCCGCCAAGCCGGAGAAGTTACATCAACGCACATACAAGCACTACAAAGGAAATGTTTGACTTTAAATACTGTACGAGAAACTCGCTGCAAAAAATTGTAATTGCATACCATCTGTAACAAACATTAGCCTCTCTCCTTGTTTCCCAAGGTCTTTTTTGAACCAACCCCTCCTTGCCTTTCCCACCCAATTCCTCCACAAAAGACAAGCCTGAGACTTCGAGGAAGTCCAACTGCCAATGTAAAAAAATCAAATCAATCAACCTAAAAAGTTCCTGCTTTTCAACGATTTTATGCGAACTCACCACGTCCGCGTGCTCTCGAAATAGAGGATCATTTAGAACGATGTTCATATATTCTTCAAGCACCTCAGCACGTTCTTCAACGTGGCTTTCGGTAACAAAAGTTTCAGGAAGAGCAGGAAGTGACGGTAAGCGATGCGCAGATACGCCCCCCAGTTCTCTCGCAGTTTCTCGTCTCGCCCTGTGCTGTTTCGTTGGCAATGGTATTGCCAACTTCACCCTGAATAGTACACAAGAAGTCGGGGAAAAAATAATTTAAATGCAGACGAGAAATTACTGTAGAGAAGCTATTTTTCGCATTTCCATATAATGGAAAATGAAATTAAGAACTAATGGCTAGCCTAAAAATCGTACAGCGTGAAAAACGTTATCGCGTAATTAAACGTCAAAGTTACAGGAACATAACACTATTGTTCGAAATCTAACGAAGCGAACTTGCAATGAACATTCATTCACCACGAAACAAGCAAAAACTGGACTGCTAAGATTTTAAGGAAAGAATAAAAGCTCTTTTTCCATCAGCACGTTGCGAACATTAAAAAAAAAAAAAGTGCAAAAAGGCGTTGTTCAGGAAGATTTCAAAAGCCCCGGATTTTACACGCAATCTGGTAAAAAGAAAGTCGCGTCCTGACCGTTATTGATTACGAAAGCAGAAAAATTAAGTATCATACAGGCCATTCCAATCGTTGCAACGTGTGATCGGAAAAACCTAACGGGGCTTATAAAAAAACCTTCAATCAAAAATTCCCATCAACAGTATATTTCACTAACGCTTCATTCTCGAATGCCAATAACTCACCTGTATAAGTTCAGCTTCTGTTTCAGCGAAGAAAAATGTTTGTACCTGCGTCGTACCACCCATTCATAAGGCCCATGAGAAACTTTAACTTCATACCTAGAGAGAAAAGGAAATTCAAAGCTCTATTAATAAACCCTCGAGTTTAATCGCAGGAAACTTTTACTCACAAGTTCGGATTGAGGATATGAGCGCCAAGTTCACGCTCACAAAAGGACACTTTCACAGTAATGGGTACATTTGGAATGAGACCAGTTCTCTCGGGATCTTTAAACGGCTTTGGAGTCGAAAACACCGTCATAAACGGTAATCCAACCCGACTCTCACCCTCTGCCATTATTAACCCGCACTTAAGAAAACTACACACAATCCGTCATCTGCACAGAACGAAACGAATCATCAGTATAAACATAAGGAAAGTAAGTTCCGCAAAAAAAAACCCCCCGCAGGCGCGACGTCACTACAGCGAACGAGTGCGGTTCAAAAGTGCACGTCTAAAAAAAATCACAGAAGTTCACGTAAGGTGAGGTTTATTAATATGTTCGTTATTTCTCCGCCATTTTGGGCATCGCTCTCATGCGATTTAAACTACTTCTTGACTTCAGAAAATCCCCTGACAATACGAGAGGTGTCTTATTTCATACGCAGCCCCATTGTTTACTATTTCACTAAGTAAACTGCTTGAAGTACAAATTAGAGTAGATTAGATTATCAGAAAATTCCGAAATATTGTCAGCATGATTTTCTGTACTGTAATCCCCTCCATCTCCCCCATTGGAACCGAATTGTTAAAATTTTAAACAAGCTCATCTAAAATTTTAAATGATGTCCTCAAATAATACTGTTTTTCACAAATGGCACTGAGGGTTCTGAAGAGGCAGTTTGCAGTAAGAATTTCAAAAATATAAATTTGTAACCCTGTATCAAGGTTGCTCGGAAATGTATCAAAATCGGTAGAGAACTCGTCCGAAAATAGAGGAAAAATGATGAATAATTACAGTTTAAACTTTAAATAGCTGGGAAAACTTTTTTAATGAATTGATCACGGAAATCCGAACCCTCCTCATACGGAGGGTTCGGGTTCTCAAAAGAAATGAAGTCAATCCTCTTTAGTCAATTGCATTGAGATGCCAAACGCGGATTGCTTTGGAAGGAGCCACAGGCGCCATTGAGATATGGAAAAATTCCCACAACAGCTACCAATGAAAAACTGTAACACAGGCGCTTCAGAAAATATTGAGATAAAACAACCATATGATCGTCAACCTTTCAATCTTTTCAAAGAAAGGCATTGAGGACAACCAGATTTACGCAAACTTTATTTTTTTTTTGGATGGATGAGGCATGTGTAACTCGAGCTTCTTCGTTCTCCGACGGATACTGATAAGACCGGAGAGATAAGTTCGCTGCGTGAATCGCAAGTAAAATATAAAAAGAATCATCAACGCCACACCTCGTCCAGCCATTTCAAGGATAACAAACCCATCAGGGTACGTCAGCCTCCAGAATAGTATTCGCTGGTAATCTTTGATAGCACCAATGCTAAAATCCGGAGTCGGTCGTGATAATAGGCCGAATTTAAAATATATAAATAGAGTGAGATACCACGAAAGTTGCGGTCTTCAAGCACAGTACTTGACGGAGACATTTTCGCAGCCTTCAAGGATACGGGAAAATGGCAGATTCGACCTCTACAAAATGTATTTCCTCCGTCATCATGAATGATTTTCTAAAACTATTTCGTTGATGCTGTTAAAGTGCGTGACCAAAAAAAAAAATCTGATCGAAACTAAATTTAACGCGTCGTTGTCCAACATGGGTGCACGCTCTCCACAAATATCTTGTCTACGACGATTTTCTCTGTATAACGAATTTTTTGTGGCCCTATAGGGTTTTCTGCCCATGCTATAGGAGTTTTCTACGACAAAATTCTCTCCACTACACATTTTGTCCTGGTCCATTGCATTTCGTCGTGGAGAGTATACATGTACAGTATTGCAGTTTTCGACAGACTTCCGAAACAGTGATAATATTTAACTTGTGTGAAATTGTAAGAAAGTACAGTTGTGTTAGTTGCGAAGAAAAGGTGTTTTCAGATTCAGGAAATGATTCGGGCAAAGCTATGCCTCTGGCTTCAGTTCTTTGATAGAATTTCATCTTCGTAGATGCGCCATTTATCGAAACACTCCAGGCTGACGCCGCTGATTTAATATTACCCCTTTTTCACAAGTCTCCCGCTTATTTTGCATAAATTGTATTACTTGAAATAGATTCGTGTTCAGTTAGGTTTCTTCACGAGGACACAGGATATGAACCACGCCAAGCCGAAGCGCACTTCACTACAAATCATGGAAAATTTTCAATTCTCGGGGCTCTATTGGCACTACGAATGCTAAAAAATTTGAAAAGAAAGAGTGCGTGGGAATTTGGATGGGATCTTCTTCGCGTGCGACGAGCCGACAAAAAAAAAAAGATAAGCATCCGCGCTGAATTCCTGAGAATTAGGAATTCGCGTAATGCATGAAAACTCGATCTACTTCCGAAGGAGAAGAAATATTTAAATACGGATTCTCCTCAAGTCGGACGCAAACAGTACTCCTCTTTCTTCCAAAACCCCGAACTGACAAATTATCAGTTGTTGAGGATACTTCCGCATGATCCTCAACGAACTCTGACTCTTGGCAAGAATTCGAAGGGTAAGAGTCATCTTTGGAAAAACGTGGGACGGGATACACGAAATCATCCAATTTTTCTTCAAATAGACGCGCCATTTTCTCCATTTCTTGCGAACTTCTCATCCCGGCGCTCGCTTTTACTGCCACGGACTGATGAGTCATTTGCTTGTTGAGCCGCCGATCGGGAAAAACGTCTAAAGAAAAACCAAGCGTTTTCTTCTCACGAAAAAGAAGAATCCTATTTTTTCGAAATACGGTACTCTGTTTGAATCGCGGATTTTCCCAAACAAACCGCTTGTGACATAACTGTTATTTCATTAAAATTACTGTACTTCCAGAATTAAAAAAAAAACTCAAGTTGGGCAGAATGACAGGAATATTCTGAAATATGCAAGAAACTGACCGAAGAGGAGATTTAGAGCACGGTCATAGATGCACACATCTTTCTGGAAATGCTGAACCAAAATTGATAGCACAGTGCAGTATGTTCAAATGATTATTTTCCTAAACGTTGCTTTCTATTTAAAATTTGAATCATGACGTGAGCTTCCTGGGACGAATGATTATTTAAATCTCGTAGGAAATCCTTAAATGTAGAAAAAATAATTTAAAAATGGCAAGGAAGACGCCACGACAATCTCGTCCTGGCATCGCCATTCGTTGAAAATAATTTTACTGAAACAGTATAAAGAACTGTATCATAGTTTTGCACTAAATTTATTTTAGAAAAATACTACATAGACTACGTATCCGAAGTCTCTGGAAATTTTTGATTTTTTTTTTAAAGCTTAGCCGATCTGAGTAATCCAAGCTATTCGATGATTTGAACACACAGTGCTCTGCTCGTCAAAATCGGCAGGGTATTCGTGAGAAACGCGAACTGCCATTCCGTCAGAACTGAACAGGAATGGATTCAGGACTCCAAGTCAGCCAATCATGACCTAAATTTCCATAACCCTATTCTCAATGCATTATGTAGGTCAAACCTTTCATCAATTCGCCCCGTTCGTCACCCAACTTTCTTCAGTTTCCTGTTGAAAAAATAATAATTTTCTCACGCGTAACTAACTGAACAAACGCACAAGTATTTTTTCACAATATCGTATTTACATGATTACCGCGGACTTCATTAAAAAAAAAAATTTCGCAAGAAAAAAAGCGAATGCGCGGAATATGAACTTGAAATCACGCTCACCAAGAGGTTTCCTTGGCAAAGTTGCAGATCTTATAGATTAGCAGGTGTTTTAAAGTATTTAAACTATACGAATTATTTTCAATAATAATCGAAATATCGCTTGTGACAATGGCCCAGAACTAAGAGTCATAATAATACTTTGAAATGAAATGATTTTTTCTTTCGGAAATGTCAGCGTTATTTATGCTGTGGGCCAAGAATACCATACTTCGTTATCTTTTCAGCAAGAGGTTTTCTCAAATAGGGGTGGCCTTAGCTCAAGAATCTCGCTACTAATTTCACAATGGCTGGCGAATTGATGATTCAAACAACAATGGTACTTCGATAATTGAATTGAAAGGTACAGCAGTAAAAAAAAATAATCATCCCTATTTTAGTTCTGTAAGGATGAGACAACGAAGGGATCGCGGAAATGAAGCATGATGAAGTCAGCGATTCTCACGAAGTACAACGTCGTAAAAAGTTGTAAATTAATTTCCAACTTCACATGATCACATCACTCAGCGCGATGCTGTATAAGTTACAGTACTACGAATTTCCTGATACTGTACAGTACATCAATCCAAGGCGAAACCAGATTTAAGTATCGAATTTTACCTGAAAGATTTCGAGCATTATGATGACGCCGGGATAACGCGAAACAAGGGCTCGGCTGATTTCCAACTTCAAACGCCAAAAAACCCGCAGATTCCCAAGTCCGAACTCGCCCAGTCTGACCATTTGTCAGAGCAACAATTCCCAATTCCACTTTGTTCGTCTTCGTACTCAATATTAGCTTCTCCAATTTATCCCCAGCGTTTTTCTTCTCTTCGGCAGTTTGATGCAACTTTTCAAACGCAGACAAACACGATCTAGACTGAATTATCAGCGGAGTTTTCCCGTAAGTATGCGGCTGCGGGAATGCTGGGAGATAATCGGGGATGACATCGTTATTCCGCTTTCTCACAAATCGTTTCTGGAATGCATCAAATAATCAACTAGTTATTTTAATTTTCATCGAATACGCTATAAAAAAAACTAACCGTTTCGTTTAATTTGAAGCACGCAGAGAGCCTTGCGTTCTGAATGGGAGCAACAGGCGTGGCAACTTGTCTCGGAATGGAAACTTTCAAGTTATCTTCTATTGTAAGTAACCTTTTGTAGTATGAGAGCAGCTCATTCAAAGATATCTTTTTCCTCTTTATCGCAAACTTGATATCATGCGACGTCGCGATTACCCTAGAATGCGACCGAATTTCTGGTAAGAAAGAATGTACCGTACTTGCAGCCACATTTACTCTAATCGACTAATCCACATTTTCGAAGTACGGTATATGTCTACGAATTGTGAGGTAACCGTTTACAACACGTAAATAAATCCAATACATCAACACGTTCGTCGAAGAAACCGGTTCAGCTTTGCAGCTACTGTATCACATAACACAGCTGAAAAGTGTTGGTAGTACTGTACTGTACTTGCACAGTAAAGTACAGTATTGAAGTTAACCCACGAATTTACGAGAAACTACAAGAAAAAGTTCTGGTTGCATCCAAATCTTGAGAAGCAGAAACACAGAAATCGTTATTTCAATAGAATTCCAAAACATTTGCACTCTTTGATGCATCATGTAATATCAAGAATTTTATTCTCACAGGTGATGTCAATTGTAATGAAAATTGCCAGATGTCACTAGCAGAAACACTTCAATTTCAAATGTGATCATCATACGGGACTCCGTTTGCTCTGGAGTTTCTTCGCGTGTGAACGTACAGTACATTCAACTTATGGCAAATGATTAATTTCACTGAAGGAAAAAAAGAACCAGGTGGAAAGATTTCTCAAATTCGTTTAGGAACTTATTTAACCTTCGTTATGAACGATGATGCACAGACACACATAGTACGAAATAGCAGAAAGAGCACAGATTGTAGAATAAAATTAAATCCTGTTGTGACTGCTTGTGACATCTACCCTTACTACCGTGTAACACTTCATCATCATGGACAAATTATGACGAATCATCACATGAATAACGCATTTCTCACAGCGCAGGAATTTTCTGGAAATCCTACATCGAGTTTTTGCACAGTAGATAATTATTGAAATTTATCATACAGTATAAGCGTCAAGAAAATCTCAGAAGTCACCTGCCAGAGTTTTCCATCGCAATTCGCGCACAATCCCCGATACTTCTCATTGACGAGACGCAGTGTTCGACGAGCGCTTGAAGTGCCACTTGCTCGATGGAGTCAAACCCTGCCAACATAATTATTTTGGCTATTGCGAATCCAAGCTCCACCTGATACGGGTCTACCAAAACAACACTTTCCGGGGTAATCGTCCAGGAAACTGGAGCACTATTCATGCTGGTGGTACAGTATAAACGGGCTGAACGCCCTCGAGGAAAAAAAAACACACGGCATCGTTTACCAGACGCCAACATAAACGCTTTCCGCAATAGACTGCGCAAACCCGCGTTACCACAGAATAGTCAGAACATGGGAAAAAATCGCGCGAATCCACTAAAGGCTCTTCCCCTCACACAGGCGTTTAATACACATCACGCCAGGATCTTTTCCTATGAGTCCCCTGAAAATTCGGAATCAAAACAGCAATTAGCCTTACAAAACCAACATCAGCGACACTTTCGTAATAAATGGAGATGTGAGAATAATCAAGACAATAAAAATATATGAATCTCCTCGTCATCAACAAAAAAATTAAAGGCGAACGAACACGAACAAGAAAAGTTCACCCCGGGACGACCCGAAAACCCGCAACTTCAACAACATGTTTCAAGACAACAAAAGTCTCCAATTATATCTCATGTTTGCGGAATTGGTAAATTGCATCGCAAACGGTTCCACAAACCGCCACTGGCCTTTATTAGCGCTTTTCTCGGAATGTTCGCTGCCTTTGATCTCAGTTTTCAGATCCACCGGGGAATCTTCCCGGTCACCACACTTCTCCTTCACCACCGACATGGCACAATAGGGGATGCTATGCACGATTCGCGACACATCCTGCGGACCCCGGGGCGCCAATCCCGTCAACTGACGTAGGCAGGAATCCAAGGACGCCGCGTGAGCAACGATCAAGATGTTCCCACCTGATGACATCAAAGACAGAATAAAAAGAATAGTCAATTTACCTGAAGAAAGTAACCCGGTTATTGTAACGATCAACACAGCGGAGACACGGTTTGAAAATCAGTAGAACAGTATTTCATGCAACGAATCTTATTCTTCCCAAGACTTAATTCGGTGTACGAAGCGTATGGTATGATACGAATTTCTCATACAAGTGTGGGGGAACGTTTGATGGGAATAAACAAGTTAAAATATTAGAATTTGAAGAAGGCTCAAACCGACTCGCCATTCAAAGTCCTCCATCAGTGGGTCTCGAGTCGATTTCTAACCATGTATAAATTGTCCACAATACCTTCAGGAACTTCGAAATTTCCTCGTACAGCATGACATAAACGCAAAAACATAATTGTAGGCTTGGAAGCTATTTCTTCGAAATAAAGGTTCTTCGTTTGAGAAAATATGGTAATTACTTAAACCGTGACCTATTTGTGGAATGACTCACCTTGTGATGCTGTAACATTGGCAGCAGACTGCGTGATATAGAAATTCCTGTTATAAAATTCCTCGCACGTCTCCTTCTGACCCGCCAACTCATTAGTCGTGACATACGGTTTGTAGCAAAGGTTTATATTGTAACCGAGATTTTTCAATTCATCTGCAGTGAAGCAATCCGGCATACAATCCTCATGCCAATAAAGCCATTCAAAAAGTCCAGGTTCCACGTTTATTTGCACCGCATCTCGGTAACCCATTCCTGGATACAGCAATGAAATCGAAATTTTTTCGGGTAGAATCGTAAGTAAATGACGTACCTTCCAGCTATTTTGAAGCGGTAACGAAGAGATTAGTTTTGCGAAATAAATCTCCCAGAAAAAAAAACCTCAGAACCGTTTCTTTCCCCAGAAAATCAGCGGGAATTTCCGGCGAAAATGAAGTAACAAACTACGGAATATTTCATTATAAAAATAGAGGACGGAAAAATACTGTTTACTTTTAAAGCAGCAAAATTGCAAGTACATGAGAATTTTTACTACATTCGGATGTAAGTTGAAATCGAGAGTTCAGAAATTTAATCGTTTTAATCACGTCTTCAAAATTCGGCCAGTTCGACCACGTGAGAAACAACCAACCATAAAATTGTTCACAAAAGATTCCTCACGCACATTACCCAATGCTAAGTCTCGCATTTAAGTCTATTCAAACGTTAACTCCAAGGCATGTAGAGTAAGCCGAAAAAAAAATCCCATTAGACTGTCTTACCTCGAAGAATGGCATCACAGGTTTGGATACACCGGTAGGCAGGCGAGCAGTAAACATGATGAACGCTTACATTTGCCTCCCGCATGGCCTCGCCCACTGATAACGCTTGAAGTAAACCAACTCGCGTTAAGGGACCATCTTTTGCGTATCCTTTCGGTCCCAGCCTTGGTCTCTCAGGCAAACACACTGGCATGTTCAAATCCCTCCTCACGTACTTGCCTAAAAATTTCTCAAGTCAAAAATTCCATTCGAAAAAGAAGAGTAAAAATGCGCATACCGTCTCGGAACACGTATGGCAGCCAGATGCCGAATGTGAAATCCACTCTTTCCCCATGTCTTACGACTATCACGTGACGTGGTGACGCAGGTGCTGGTAACTGCAAAGAATTTGAGATACAATATTTCCAATAAATTTAGTTATTTTCGTGTTTCCTTGAAACGAATTTTTTTTCCAGGAAAAATATATTTTCCAAAAACCTCAAGTACAGAACTGTGACGTCTTTCTCCAAACATAAATACAGTCAAATTACACAGTCAGAAAAAAACTGGTGATTGGCACAAATAAAATTTGAAATCACACGTTTTTGGATATTTCATAGTAGCTACAGCGAATCTCGATACAACGAATTCTTCGTTAAAACTAATTTTTATCAGGTCCCTGGGGGTTCGTTGTAACGAGATTTTACTGCACTAACTTCATCCCACAATGTCTAACTGGTTTTTCTTGATAATAAAACAATTTTAAAAGGGTCTGCCCAAAACAAAATACGTAAGACTGAACTAAAAGTAGCTCCAGACAATCCAGGAAAAGAAAAAAGAGCTTTAAGAAAGATACACGAACTCCACTCGCATCAAGAGCCGCAATACACGTATTGTACTTCAAGGAAAAATCTTGAGGAACTTCACTAGAGCACCTGGTTCATTTCGAACAATTCTAGAATAGCATCAAATAAGTGAGCTACGATATTACCCTGAAAAGCATTAACAAACGCGTCTCTGGCACGAGATTTAATCGGTAAATTTGCCAAGTTCAATGTAAAAATTTTTGACGCGAAAAATAATTCAAAGTAGTCTCAATGTACCTGCTGCGGTGTGATGTTAGGGATTGGTAACTGCACGTCAGGTAAGCAAAAGGGACCGGAGTCAAGCTGAATCTTGACTCCCGGTTTGTCATGGTGCTCATGGGACGAAAGTCTCCGACATAAAGATGGTGATACTCTACCTCGCGACTCCAGACGGTCCAAAGATCCAAAACGTGGAGAACGACACATGGGAAAAACCCTGCAAAAATTAAAAATCCACACAATGTTGATTACGAGAAAATTCCGGAAAACCGGTAGTTCCGGAAGACATATTGGGATATATACTGTACTTGTGTAGTGTCCATGCGTCCGACTCCGCCGTTCGTTCAATGTAATTGCTAGGTAAGCAACCGGAACATCCCGTAAGCCAAGAAGTCCCCTGAATCCATCCGTCAATACTTGAATTCAAGTCTTCAGATTTCACATACACAAAATCACCGAGAAGTAATTCCAACTCATCGCTCTCAATTGGAACGTGAGAGTAAAGCACCCTATAGACCTGCAGACACATTAAATCCAAATGAGCGCGTATACCACTGCACTTTGAAAGAAATATCTTACATTTCTTCCGATAGCCCTGGCTTCACGGGAATACAATCGAAATTCCCATGAATCAGAAGCCACTTGGAATTTTATACTTCGGGCGAATTTTTCAAGCTTTGGATAAACTTCACTGGGAAATTGATAAGCCAGGGTTAAGTGAAGATCCTCTCTACCATCGTCTAGCGTAAGTGCTGCAAATCAGGACCAATTTCATGTATTGCAGAACGATCTATACTTTACTGGTCGATATTTACTCACGTCGCTTTTGTCCGACAGCCTTGAAGTAGTCACAGCCGATTCCTCGAAGAAACTCGGTGATATTTCTCGGCAGAAACAGCCCGATGAAATTGGAAGACACATACAGTTCTAAAGGGATACTAGGTGGAAAACGAGGCTGAGCTGACCTTAAAACAGTTTGCAACGCTTCAGTAATTTTCTCCAGATCTTCATCTGGACTCTGAAAAAGTAACACACCCATAGGTTTGGAATTTCAAAAAGCGTTGAATTTTTTTTTGCCTTACCGGAAAAAACGGACAAACTGTAATGTGTGGCACCTGATTCATGGCACGGTTCCAACCACATTCTTCAAAGCAGGCGCGAAAAAAATTTTGCAGACTTTCGAGAAGCGCACCTTTAGGGCACAAGTATAGCACGTACTCCCTCGGCACTTCCGCATCAAGATCAACGTCGTTTACGTGGGCAAGAAGCCAATCAGAAGCTAGCTGAACTCCTCTGTCTCCCGTCGTCGCTAATGCTTTTTCCCTGGAAAAAATAAATGCACTATAAATCAACAAAATCAGTGTTCCAAAATTAGAAACTCCGCTTACGCTCGATTTCGCGGAAATCCCATTTGCAGCAAAATCTCCAACGAGTTCAGCGTCCTTCGAGTACCTCGTCCAGGAGTAGACGTTTTCCGAGGAGGAAGTGCGGCCATCACAATTTAACAATCAATTTCAACTAACAATGAATTTGGCATCCATTGAAACATGGATTAGGGGCCACACTAATGCGAACGCAGTGAATATATAGAGGGAAAGAGAAACAGCATCTACGTTTAAAAATACGGGCAACGCTGGGCTGAGGCATTTCCATCAAACCTCACAGACAGAGAGGGAAATTTCCTTTATCCTGTAAATCCACCGAATACAGACTTGCAACAGTTCGCGGGACGGGAAATTACACACCACACCAACGTGTATAGTTCCGACACAAATCACAGGCCAACCGAATCCGTTCCATGAAGTGATAGCGAAGAGTGGACCGAGATAACGGACGAACAGCCAGACCATCAATCACAGAAAGCACATGGTATTTGACATGGTTGAAGGGGCTTCATGACATCGGTGCTCCGGGCTCATTCTCCAGTGACCGATTACTTACACATGAAGATTGCACGGATGATACAGCGCGAGATCAATCGCACTCCCAAGCTAACACAATTCGTTATTATTGATTTCGTAATTATTGATCAATGGAAAACTTTTAATCTTTATAACTGCTTATGAGTAAACCACTCCAGCTTTCGATGAACAGTGTCACAATAAGACACGGACTTGCATTACAAACACTTTTCTGATACACTTCCGACGAAATTTTCTCAAGAACCACAATTTTCTTTCTGGACTACCTGTACAACAGTAAGGTATTGAAACACAAGTCCTCGGCTAGCGTCACCAAGTTCCGGAGTCGTTATAATTTCCGTTCAACAACTCCTAGAGCTTCTTTCCGAAAATGACAGCAACCACAATCACAAGCACAGTCANACCATCTCAGTGCCACTGGCTGGATCGGCAAAAAGCCGGACGAGCCCCCAGTAAGGATTCGTAAGAAAGTCTTCCGCCAGGGCACTATTTCACACAGAGTCTTTATTCGAGCAAACTCCGTTCAGATGGTAGGAACACAATCACAAAGTCAAGTCACACAATAAAAACAGTAGACGATGTCAGCTCATCAAAAGTCAAGAGCGAAGTGAGGTTCCGGAGTCCTGGTCCTTTCCGCATCTCCTCCGATCAAGATTGCCATCTTCCTGCTGAGCAAGCTTGGGGTGGGCAAATGATTAGAGGATGAAAGTTTCTAGTTTGTAGAAGTAGGTGTCGCTCTAAGGGTTTCCGATAGGGAGCCCTTACTCTCCCCCCCCCCAGAAAAATGGGGTCGGTGATGTAATCCGGCGACATTTTTTGAGGAAAAATAAGTATGATCCGGGCGGACTGCGGAAGCAGGTTGAGTCAATAGATAGTCGTGATCGCGAAGGACGTTATCCTGAGGAGAAAAGCCCGAATTTGGGTCGGCAAACCGAACGTCGGCGTTCAAATAGGGATCGTCGGCGAGAGGAGAAAACAAAGGGATTACGTGTTCGGCCCATATCGGGTCAGGTTCACGCGGGAGACAGCGCGCCGGTACCAATTCCCATGCGTTGGCTCGGCAGATTGCCCCGCCCGCTCCGACGTGGTACTCGCCTTTGCCGAGGTACCGGATTACAATGAAGGGACCCAGCTGTTGGATACGAAATCTGCGATCGGCTGCGTGTTGTTGTACTGTAGGTAGCCGCGGCCGAGTCGCGACGATATCTCCCGGTTGGAATTTTGGCCATTTTCTGCGATTTGCGGACTGACAAAATTCGTCTCGGGCCTTCGCGTTTCGTTCGGCAATCAGCGCGAGCTCGTTGTCAATTGGAGGTGGTACCACGCCAAAGGTTTTATCGGATTCGAGACAAACCGGTTGATTAAAAAAGGCCTCGGTCGGAGCAACGCCGGTAGCAGAATGTATGGTATTGTTGTAGGCCAACACGGATTTATGGATATACTGGTCCCACCTGTTGCTATCCTGTTGGACGTGCTTGGCTTGTATCTGGCGTAGAGTGCGTATGGCACGCTCGCAACATCCGTTACCTTCAGAATGCGTTGCTTGTGCGACATGCTGCTTAATGCCCGCGTCGCGTAAAAACCATTTAAATGCTCGCGAACGGAATACGGAATCACAATCGGTATGGACAGTTTCAAAAATTCCGAATTGGCGAAACACTTCCGCGAGAAAAGGGATCACGGTGGGCGCGTCGGCGCTGCAAATGGGTTTAACCATCATATATTTGCTAAAATGGTCGACAGCGATAATTGCGTAGCGATGTCCCTCGGTGGATAACGGGAGGGGACCATAAAAATCGAGAGTTAAACGTTCACGCGCGTGATTCGACACTATGGGCTCGAGATGCGTTCCGATTTTGGTGGTCCGAGCGTTATAACGAAAGCAGGTGGGACAACAGTGAATCCTCTTCCAAATATCTTGTCTCATGGAAGGCCAATGATACCGTTTCTGCAAGGTTTGATAAATTTTCTTCCATCCTGGATGACCGAGTTCTAAATGATAACTGTCTATGATTTGAATTCGTTCGGCCTCCTCTGGTACTTCGCGACCCTCCGCGGCATTCACTGCGACTCGGCTAAGCGCGTCTGGACCCTTAAGAAAACGACCCGGTTTGTACTCCAGTTTCGCCCGGAAAGGGGCCAACTTAGTTTTAAGGTATATGAGGCGCGTGGTTTTAAGTTCGCCGAGTAAAGCTTTGTGGTCGGTGTACACCGTAAAGTCTTTCATCTCCAAATAATGCTTAAACTTTTTTGTTACGGCCCACACAATCGCGAGGAGTTCCCTTTCCGAGTTTGAGTATCGCGTTTCGGTATCGTTCAATGTACGACTTGCATATTCTACGACGCGTGGTTTACCTTCTTCGTCGATCTGTGCCAAAATAGCACCAAGTGACGTGGCCGACGCATCACAATGTACCTCGGTTGGCCGAGACGGATCCATTCGTTCGAGTCTGGCGGAATCAGCCAAGATATTTTTAAGATGCTCAAAGGCACTGTCGGCTTCGTCCGTCCAGACCAGCTTTGTCAATGGTTTGGCCGGAATGATATGCCTAAGCGTCTTCTCCGCCGTCGCGAAATTCGTGGGAAGATGAGCGCGCAAATATGTTGCCATTCCGAGAAAACGCTGCATTTGTCGCGTAGTCGTAGGTTTTGGAAAACGGCGTACTGCGTCGAGGTCTTTCTCAAGAGGTCGCGTCCCAGTTTGATCTATTTCATGCCCTAAAAACACTGTCTTCCTGGCGAGGAAGGTAGACTTAGCAAGATCAACCGCTGCACCGGCATTTTCCAGTGCCGTAAGTATCAGAGCCAAATTTTCGCGTACCCTCTCAAACGACTCGCCGAATATGATAATATCGTCCATGTACACCAAACAACGTTCAAACAAAAAATGACGCAAAATATGGTTGACCGCGCGTTGGAATGATGCGGGGCCATTTTTTAGACCAAACGGCATAACTCTATATTGCATCTGACCGCGCGGAGTCCAAAAAGCGGTTTTAGGTCTGTCCTCAAATGCTATGGGCAGATGATGAAATGCCGCGTGCAGATCGAGACTGCAAAAATACGCGTTGTTGCGGCCCAGGGCATCAAGGAGATCCTGGATGGCCGGCATAGGATACCGGTCATCTGCGAGAATATCGTTGATGCCTTGGTAATTTTCTACTAGCCGCCATCGTCTGTGGGGAGGAGCGTTAGAATCCGGATTCTTTTTACCGGTTAAAAATGCGGGCGAGTTATATGGCGAGGAGGCAGGTTCTATTATCCCGGCCTCGATATACTCGTCTACAAGAGCGGCAAAAAGTGAGTTCATTTCTGTTGATTGGCGAAACGAACGGGTATTCGGGATTTTATCGCCGGTTGACTTGAGGGTGACGGTGTGCTCGGGAAAAAAACCGCGTCTGCCTGACCACTGGTGGAACAGGTCTGCGTGGCGAACCAACAATTCCGAGATCTGGGCTCGTTCCATAGGATCCCCATCGATAAAAGAAATGCCTTCGCCGATCGCGAGAGTAGGGGTCGCGCGGTTCTGTATGCTGCGCTGAAAACCCACGAATGCGCGATCGCCGTCAATTGTTAACGCGAGGGGAAAATGACGGAGAGCGGTACGTCCGAGGAGAATGGGGGGGTCCGATAAGTGTGGGAGGATTAGAAACGGAACCGAATACTGCAATCCGCGAAACACGAAATCGAGCACAACCTGCTGCGCAACTTTAGCGGAATCGGGAGTTAGGGCTGTCAAAATGTGGACAGAACACGGTTGGGGAACAAGTTTTAAGGTATCCACTAACTTTTGGGCAATGAAGGCGTGGGAAGCGCCTGTATCTACAAGAGCAGGGACAAGGAGGTCTCTAACCTGCAGTGACAAGATGATCGGTGGAGGTGCGGCGAGGTCCGTATCCACACAGTGCGCCGCGTTCACTGTGGCGGACGTCCGTTTCCCTGGGTCGACAACGGGCAGTATCGCGCTATATGACCTGGCGCTTGGCAATGAAAACAGTGCTGCTCTCGGGCGGTGCCCGGATGATTTGAGCTGCTCTGGCTGCTCTGGGTATTGCGTGGCTGCGTCGTCGTTGTTGATGCCTCGGGATTCTGTTGCTGGTTCCGGGCTTGCTGACGGAGCAGGATTCGACATTCCTGTGGAGAGTGTCTGACGTGTGCCTGGTGCGCCTCGCACCATTGTCTCTGCGGTCTGGCGGTGCCGGTTGAATGCTTCGCACTTGGACGGGAACCGGTCCCGGTGCGTGTTGTCGCATGGTGATGCAACCGGTACTTCTCGGCCTCTGCGACTGCCTCTGGCCACGTCCAATTCCGGTTGTCTATCCACTTCCGTCGTAGCTCGTCCTGCAGACCAGTTGGAGCAGCCAGGATCAGCTGCTCGATCAGCATTTTATGTCGGATCGTCTCTGTTGATATTGGTTGTCTCGGGGGGGCGAGGAAAGAATCGAAAGTATGTTCCAGTCGCCCCCCGAAACTAACGTAGCTCTCGCCGTTCTGCGGGCGGAGTAGACGAAACCGATCCAAACGGTCTAGATGGGGTGTAGGGTGGGAGAGAGCAATGGCCGCGACGAGATTTTCGAAGTCTACAATTCCGCGCCCGTACAGGATCGAGGCCGTTTCTCGGACAAGGCTGTGGGTTTTATTGATGAGGCACCATACCTTGGCATCCGCAGAAACGTTGTTGATCGCCGGCATGCGTCGGAGGTGATCCGCGTAATCTTCGAATGACTCGTTTTCACGCTGGCGAGGCAAGTCTGCTAACTGCGGTTCTCCTGGGTGGCGGTAACCGGGTGGGACGGAAGGTGGCGGGGTGTTCGGCGGACGTGCGACGAGGATCTCCTGGGTCTGAACAGATGACCATGACGAGATCTGGAGGTCCAAGGGTCGAAGATGCCAGCCCGGCGGAGGAATCCAACCCTGAGCTATCGACGCTGGTATCCGGTTTGCCGTGAGGAGGTCGACGTACGTTGCTCGGTCCGCTCCCGCTGGTGCTCCCAGACGGTATGCCTCTGACAAGTATTGCAGGGTCGGCAGAGGTATATTGTCCCAAACAGTGCACGCTTCTGGCGTGGGAGGTGCAATGGGAAAGCTCCGCGATGTTGCTGGCGTAGCCTGCTCCGTGGATTCGGTTGCATCCCCGGCAGGAACTGCTTGCGGGTCCGACACGGGTGCAGGTGGCACATAGGGCAGTGCCGCAGCTCGCGAATTCTCTGTATTCCGTACCATCTCAGTGCCACTGGCTGGATCGGCAAAAAGCCGGACGAGCCCCCAGTAAGGATTCGTAAGAAAGTCTTCCGCCAGGGCACTATTTCACACAGAGTCTTTATTCGAGCAAACTCCGTTCAGATGGTAGGAACACAATCACAAAGTCAAGTCACACAATAAAAACAGTAGACNGAACTTGAATCAAGGATGAAACAGACCAATGGTAAGGCTGAGGATAGCATACCAGGACATTGGAACAACAGGGTTGTTGAATAATTGGGGTGAAGAGGATTCCTTTTCAAGAACCACACATGGATGCCGCTGATAATTTTCCGTGTGTTGTTCTTAGCAACATCTATGAGGGCATCGTTTTGCGAGTGGCTCCCCCCAAAGTGGGATAGCTCCAAGGCCTCCTGTGAGAATAGATTTCCGCAGAATTCATCATTATTTTTGCCAAAGTAAATGCTGCTTCAAGAATTGCTGTGGAATCAACTTTCCTCTGAATTCTGTGGAAGATACCACTGCATAAGTGATCACTGCAGAAGAGCCTCTGCGGAATTGCACTCCGCGGATGTGGACTAATCCTCCTGCAGGGGGAGTACGCTGTACCTGGGGAGTACGCCCTGCCTGCTACACCGGAAAAGAGGCATTCTGTTCATGGCATCTGAAGCACTGAGTATACTATCCTATCTCCTAGTTTTGGGATGTGACCCCTCATCCTGTATAGATCAAAGGACTATTACCTAGTCTTACTAACAAGTCAATTACCTCTTCTACATTCAACTTCGACCCTCCCCAATCATTATTGAACATTTAATAATCAAAAACTGTCGCACACTACGAAGTCATTTGCACCTCGTTGGTTGGTCACATGCAATTTCAGTTATGGAATCGGAAATTATTTCAGAAATATTTCGTATGATGGGAAATCTATCACGAATTCAGACAACCTCGCAAAACAATTTTTTTCCTAGCGACGAGGATTTATTTTATTGTCACTCATAGGCACGACACTGATAGTATTCGGAGGAATGTTGCGATTCAGAGACCAGGGATCAAATTCAGGGTTCTTCCGCACGACTTCCTGCTTAATCCGAGGATACACGTGGGCCAGTCCTGTCATGGGCACGTTGGGTGTGATGATATTATCGTGGGCACAGGTTTTCACCATGGGCATGTTATTAAAAGGATGCATAGCCGGATTTTCTTCCAGAGGGATTTCCGAGCCTTTCCGGTGATCCAGGTGGCCAAGGGTTTTGGGGTTGTGCAGAACTTCTGAAACCTAAGCGTGAGTTCGAATTATTTTTCGGTTTGACGGGAATGTTCTTGCAGTAGTTACAGTTAATTCCTATAGCACGTATAGGGTTCGGAATTTAGTTCAAGAATTGTGAGATTTGAAGTCTGACACAAAGTTACAAGTTACAACTCATGATCCAAGGAAATTCTGCACCTCACTTTTAATTAACAATATTTAATCTAATTACACATTTGAAACAAAATTTGAAATTCGTTTCTTGCGGACTTGAGGACAAAACCAAAGCATGATCCGAAATTTGTCCCCTCTTTATCAATTACAGTACGTACCAATATTTTTTGGATCAACAAATTCATATACAGTACATACTTTTTTTTATTTAAAAAAAATGTTCTTAACGACTTATTTGAGGCCACACTGTTGTGAGTTCCAATACCAAAATGTGAGGCTAAATTCATTTAAATTTCAGAATCATGAGTTATAACATTCTCCGCCTTCCAATCCAACTCAAAATTCAGATGAATTCCGCACCTTCCTTTTAATTACTATACAGTACTGCTGTACTGTACTTCATCACTATTATTATCAGACGCGCAGCAGGAGACATTCTTTTTGTCATCGTATAATCTATACCTGACAAAATCAACAAACTGAACACTTCTGCTGGCCTGAATAAAGCATGCATGATTCAGAAAAAATATATAACATGTGCCCGCGTGAACCCCGACTATTTCTGGAAGGAAATTGAAATACTTCTTACACTTTCCGTATCTACGAGACGAATATCACTGTAAGTACAAAAACGATAAATTTGTTTCTCCTCTCTTGAGAAAAAGTAAACCCCTAAAAATGGAAGAGAGCAGTAATTCGACCTGATCCGACTGGATGCACGCCATCGTCATAGACAAAGTCCCGGCGCCCAAACCGAAACCATAGCCCCTGGGTCCATGGGTTCTCCCGTAACACTTTTTGCAGAACAACTCCCCCTCGCGATAATTCGCCCTCAGGCTGTCAAGCTGGATGCCACACATTGAGCATGTGAAGCACGTCCGGTGCCAGGAATGACCACCAGCAATTTGCTGCTCAGCGTGAAAGACGGGATTCAAGCATCTGGGACACAAGTTCGCGCTTCCGGTCGCCTCAAAGGTTCTCACAGTTCTGTTCATGATTAAATTCGTAATGAGAGGAAAATTGATTTTCTCATAAGGACGGAAATTTCTGCGTTCAAGACATATGTTAGATTCAACTGAGGCCCTACCATTCGTGAAGCCTAGAAAACCTTCGGAGATTTTTCAGTGCGGTGGACTTGGAATATATTTGATGAATGACACGAGCGAAGGCACATGGAAGATCACGCTGAAGAAAAGTTTGCGTAAATGCGATTTCACTTTTTTAGGGCAAAGGTATTGAGAAAATCTCAACGGGTGTTCTTGTCATCATGAATCAAAGGTCGAGATCTCTACGCAATACTTGGGATTTCCCCAAAAATTATTTCCCGAAAAAAAGCTTCATGTATAATTTCGTTAAAATCGATCTCCTAAGCATTACATTTCACGAAAGAAATCAAGAACCCAGGAATCAAGTAACAATGACACCGACCCGAAATATGAAAAATTATTATGAGTGTTCATAACCGGTGATTTTCCAATGGAATTCTTCCCTGATGTCGGTCGTCGGTAATTCGATTATCCATTCAGCAGGCAACGGACGCGAGTTGAGCACTGCTTCACCCACGGTCACGTATCACCTTGAAATCACAAAAACAGACATTAAAAAAATCAAAACTCATCTGAAGACAAAAAGTAGAGAACACAAGATCAGGTTTTTCTTTAGCACAAACCATCGAATGTATTTCTCATCTCAGGAAGCTAACATTGACCAAGAAAACAAAGCACCAAGCAGCTCGAAAGCATTTTGTTTCCTGTGCGAATAAAACGAGTCCGTGCTCAAAACACCCGATATTCTAAACGCCACGAACACCGAAACCATAAATTCTTTCTCCCTCCCCCAAAGAAGCCAACAAAAGAGATCAAACGTTGCAGTCCCCTTGAGAACAAAGCACCACACTTAGTATTTAATAATTAATACATTCCGCGTAGACTAGCGTAAATCCCCTTCTTTGAACACCGGAAGTTTTCTCAACAACTAGACAGAAGAAGATCTGTACATGACGAAATCTTGGCGAACGAAAAAATATTCACGTTTCTCTGACCTGGGACGAGATCCGTTTCTCTAAAATTGTCTCCCAAATGCTTCGTTTCCTCCCTCTCGAAACTATGCCAATACTTTTTCTTTCAAATTTCAGGGACAGCCTCGGTCAAGAATTTGGAACACTGCCTATTATTAAAAAAAAAACAGTTCAACGTTCCTACTGGAACCATTGAATTAACTGCGAAATTTTCGTAGAACTCGAGGAACGGAAAGTGATTTGAACCGTGCTGTCCCCAAAATGGCAATAATAGTTCAACTATTCAGTTCAGCCTGCTTTACAACGAACTCCTGGCCAATTTTTCGCAATATCCCTCCTCGAAGTTTTCATTGAAAGACACGCACGCTAGCAAAGTTTTCTTCCGCTCGACGCAGATCGCCAATTCTTTTACTAGGAATTAAACGCAAGGAAGCTCAAACGGAGCGAGTTTTCTTTCCTGAATATTTTTTGGCACTCATAGCAGCCAACGAACTGTAAGAAATCCTTCGCGCATGCGGAATGACTGGCGAGGAAATTTCAATCTCCAAAAATTAAGTTGCGCCTACTGTAGCAATATTTGGGCTATCTTCAGCGAGAATCTACAAGTCAACGACTATTGACTCACCGTCACTCCAAAAATGTCTAATTCCTCCAGTAATTGACTCCCGACTAGCTTAATACCTCAATAAGAGAAAATAGACTTGAAAACGGACAGTTATTCGGACAACAAATAAACGCAAGCATTTCCCTGTTCTTTCGATTTCTCAAAATGCCACTGGCCTAAGCTAGCAGTCGAGCTCTTCGAAAGATTTTTCTTTCGAAATTACGGCTAGAATAATACAGAAAAATAAGCACGAGGATTTGCGACACAACAGAGCACAAATTAATGATAATCATACGTCGGATTACCAACACAGCGACCAAATAATAGCGAGAAAAAAGTCTCGGTAACTATCATTGTCAAAAGCACGAAGCTCTCCGGTTCACAGCTCAACACCCAAAGGAAAAGTTACACAGCTTTCTTTGTCTCCAACTGCCATATACTCGACAACATTCAAAAAGTCTCAATTTCTCGTCGAAGTAAATGGGCTGAAATTTTCTTCCCCGGCGGTTCGTGGGCGAAAAAAGGTCGAAGTGGACCCTAGAAAAATACTTATTCTTCTTCTAGAAAATTGACCTTCACTGTAAAGAAAGAATCATGATGCCAACTTATGTTGGCACCTTGCTGTTTTAAGTTGTATCCTACGTCCACGTTTTCTCGGAACGGACAAAATCCAAGTTGAAAACCGGATGTTTGGTTGAAGACTGATTTTTGATTCTACTAACATTAGTTGGTTGCTCCTCCACAAGGTGTATATCAAACTTCAGAGTAGCATCTTTTTAAAACTGCAGTCAAATTTAATCAAGAATGTGAAACAATCCTGAAAAGATGTTATCTTTTGGATCAAGAGGCGTTTACAAAATCAATAACCCTCATGCTCTCTGAAAATTACACTAATTTGTTAGTTATTCTTTAAAAATTGTCTCGAAGTACAAGTCACGTCGCCATTTTGTCTTTTCATGACTCTTATAATGAAATTTCATTTGGTTGACGGATTGAATTGTCACAAATATTTCGATTACCCAAGTTCTTGTTAAATCAGGTTGAAATTACCCTTTGCCTTCAAAATTGGGTTAGACTTCCAATAAAGAGAAAGTAAAAAAAAAAGTCAGGCATAAAGGGAAGTCTAGCAAAAAAAAAATTCTTACGCAGAATGGCAGAAAAAATAAATCGGCCCATTTACTTCGAAAAGAACCACAACTAGAATCCTCAAAGCAAAAACAATAAAATAAGAATAAAATTCTCATATGAGGCGTGTTCACAGCAAAAAGACGCCATTAACGTCGGCTTCCTCTCCGTCAGTCCGACCATCGTAAACTTTCTCTCCGCTCGACCATTCCAAAAAAATACGGCGTTGCACAGCTCTCGGGAAGTTGGCTTTTTTTTGAGCATGTGGAAAGCATCGCCATTGAGATCGAGACAAATATTTACTCACGACATTGAAGCAAACAACAGTTCGAATCTGCCGCTCTCTTGGCCTTATTACAAGTTCCTCAGTCGAGCTACTAACAATTACTGTATAAAGCTCTTCTCTCGAGTCGAATTACTTTCCTTCCTCAGATTAGGACGGACAAAACCGAGAAAACTAAATCCGGTAGCGTACAGTATAACTAATCAACAAAATACTGTGGTAATTTGAGCTCAATTTCCAGATTTCGAGTATGATGATTACAAATACACCTGATTTGGTAAGGTGGCGTAACACCATTCGGCAGACGGTTCGGAAAAATCACGAATCAACGAGACATGGATTCGGAATACTTTTCCTAAATCTTGAATGAATTCCTTGCAAACGCTTGAGCACGGAAATCGACCAAATCAGCGTTTGAACACATCACGGAACACAGAATTGAATTTCGCTTGATCAGTCAACGTAAAACTCGAGATAGGATCCACGAGACAATTATTTTCTCGGGCACTCAACCAAGGAAAATTTCTCTGCAATGCCCTCGAGAGTTAGAAAAAATTTCAGTCTTGAAATCCAAGATACTCATGCAAAAATTCGTGGCAGAGTCAACGGATGAGCATTCAAATTTTGCAGGTACAAAAGTAACGCATTGAACAAAAATTCCAAGTCCAACCACATAGCTTTTCTGCTCAAAAAAGTCAACGGTTCTTCTATATCGCGACAAAGTCAATCTTGGAATACAAATTTTGCAGGTACAAAGGCAACGAATCCAACTCAAGTCCGAGCTCACCAAATCATATTGCATCACTTTCCTGCTCAAAAGAGAGATCAAAAGTTTCTTCGGGGAGGTTTCAAAGGTACATCTTCGAAAAAAGCCGACTCGGGACTTCCTCCGTCAACTAACTCGGGACTTCCTCCGTCAACTAACTCGGGACTTCCTCCGTCAACAAACAATAGGACCGCAAAAAACGCAAAAAAAATAAAAGTTGTTAAAAAAGAAACAACGACGTACATTAATTCCTATACAGTATTCTTCTTCAAGGCAAACGGCGAACGTGGACATGAAGCCCGCCACAGCCGGGCGCCGCCACTTTCTGATTTTTTCCTGACGAGCCGGACGACGAAGGCGGCGATGAACATTCGCAGGTGGCAGGCGTCAGCAAATTTGCGCCTTCGGCGTCTGTCCCGCCTCCTGATGAGGAAATGCTCGGGTTGACGCAAGGGAGAGTCACACTCACTATGCGATCCTTCGGAATCACCAACCAATAAAAGCTTTACTTGTAAACCATCCAGAAAATTGATGAAAACGCAGAATGCAAACGTTCATTTGAATCAAGAATGTCGATCTGATGATACGCAATCTGAAAAGGACCTCAAGTTTTGATTGCACCTGTTTCTGATCGAATTTTCGCTCTTGCCTCCGAACACACAATATTCAATACGGGAATATTGATTGATGCAATTCAAAAGGCTTGCAACGCAAAAAAATTAATTAATCTGATTAAATCATTCGAAGGGTGTCTGATTCTCACGGGCAGCCAGATTTTCGCAATCTTTCAATATAAAAAGAAAGCACTTCATATTATCAAATCTTAAGAATTAATGCCTTCATAATCTTATGTCTTACACATTGCCTAACTTTCTGAACCCTCAATTTTACAACCACTAATAATTAAAGAAAAAATTTAAACATTTCCGCATGCACCATCTGTCATCCTCGCGTGGTATCATATCTAATCTTCAAAAATGTTTAAAAAACGTATGATTTGATCGAAGTATAGTACCTCGCAAAACTAACAATCATTGGCCGAAAAATGTCCTCATTTTCCAAAGACGAAAAATACCAAAATTAGCATGCTTAGAATGCTATCATTTTAGGATAGAAAGAGCTGAGGTGTGTTTCTGATTAGGGGAAGAATGTTTCAGGAAAGCTCGGGGAAATTTAAATTTTCGGAAAGACATGAACAACTGTTGACCTCTCTCTCTTGTGAACTGCGCAAAAATCAGACACACATCGTAATCATAGCTTCATCAAAATCAAATTGTGTAATTTCAAATATAAAAATCCAGAAGAAAAAATAAGAAGAAAACTCACGTCATTTTTCGAGAAGCGCACCGAGCGCGACACATACTGCCGTGAGTCGGTGGATGTTTCCAACTGGGCAGAAGAATACGTGGGGTTCGAGAAAGATAGAAAGGCTCTCGATGGATTCAGAGCAGATCCACTGGTTCCGTCTTCACTTACTCGCAATGGCCCCGGGACATCGTGTTTCTTCTTCCGCCAAACTACGCCCACGACGCAAAGGCAGGCCAATAAGGACGCCAAGCAAATCTGGCCTCCGTAGAAAAGCCACTTTTCCGAACGTGATGTTTCGCTAAAAGTGAATCCAAAATTTTATTTTTTCTACCAAAAAACGTATTTATGCGAGTCACGATTTTTCAGGGTTTCCGGAGAGCTGCAAGCTGCTCAATTGTAACAGACGGTTCTTTTCATAAACTTATGTTCCTTTTTTGACAGCTGTCGCCTGAATGACATGACCGACCAAGAACTCAACTAAACCATTGTTTTAAAGCAAAAATTTCGGAAAATAAAATTTTCAGAGCTAACTTAACTCGATCATGAACAATTCGGTCGAAATCTAAGTAATAAAACAAATTTAGAGAGGGGACGTTGGGTATCAATTGAATTTCAGGTTCGAATAGGAGCTTCGGCTTAGGTTAGTCTGCTTAAAGGTTAGCCAAACGGACCCACGCAAAACTATTCTACTGATCAGGAAATTAAGTTCAAGTGTAGCGGCTCCAAAGAATTTTCAACTCCTCCACGACTTTTGTCTTAAGCAATAATCGCTCCTTAAAACAAAAAAAATATTTCAAATCAGCACAATTCCATGCATCACTCGCGGGAAAAATTCAACGAAGCGATTTGAAACAGGAAAAAGAAAGAGATCACTCAGAAATATTGGATAGCCGCAGCAGTAGAAATGAGAAACTTAGCAGAGCATACCTAGTTTCCCTCGGTCGTAGGGAAGCATCTCCAGGCAACATGGTGGAGGTAGCATTATCTTCCGTTTCCGGCTTGTAAATGGCGTCCTCAGCGTCGAACCAAGGTTCTTCCCCGTGTTTAACTCGCTCGGAAGGCTGCTCCGAGCACGCCCGACCGCCACGCACGGGTCGGTCCGGACAGCCGCACGTGTATGCTCGCGGACGGTAGAGACACAAGTGAGAGCATTTGCCGTTATCCACAGCACAAGGATTCCAAACTAAATAAACAAGAGTAAAACGTGTAATTAACTTCAGTTCCACTGAGCAATCCACTTCACAAAAATTAAATTAAATCGACAGCGCAAAGGTAAGTCACATAGAAAAGATAATTGATTCTAGATCCCCCTGGGGACTGATGCTTAAGTCAGAGTTGTCATACGCAGTAGAATAGAAACCGAAGTCCAATTTATTATTTTAAAAAATGCTTAAAACAATCAGAACTGAAACGAAATGTACAGTATTGGTGCCTCAGAATGCAGCAGGAATACAGTAATAGCCTCAATCAATCTAATGTACAAGTTAATTCTGCTTATATGGCTAACTATTCAAATTTATCAAAACGTATTTTTCATAGGACATTTTGTTCTTTCGAGTTACAAAAAGGATAACAAACTCACTTGAAGGATCTTGGCGTGACTCTGCAACAGCCCGAATTTCCATGAGATCTCCCCAACCAGCTGCCACGACTTTTCTATTCCGTCCGTCGATTTTCCGAGCAGTTTCAATAGTCTTTCGAGCCCATTCTGTCCAGTACAGGTCGTTACCGAGCTATTGACGAGAAAAAGTCGAACTTAGCAAGAGTCGTTGAAAAAAAAAACTTGTGTAGCGCATAAAAACGTTAAATTCTAAAATGAATCAAATGGAACAAAACATATCTGATTACAAGAATTTTAGGTCTAGTTTTAAAAACTCTCGTTAAAAGTTGTTCTGCAATACACCGAAAAATTCCCAAAATCCTACCATTGTCAACCCAAACGCATTCCACACATTGTTCACAACGATCGTCCTCTTCCTCCCAGTAAAATCGCACCGTTCGATACGATTTAAGTAAGCGTCCGCCCAGTACACCATATTCGAATCATAATCAACCACTAATCCATTCGGCCATAACAAATTCCTACGAGCGATTACTCTTCTTCCGCTTCCGTCAAGATACGATCGTTCGATTCTTGGAGGGTCCACAACGTCCGACCAGAAAAGATAGCTGCAAAAAAAAAAAACCTTGGATGAAAACAATTCCTCGAAAAGTTTTTCAACTAATGACGAACCCTCGTCCAGGATGAACAGCCAAAGACCGAGGCTCTGTTAGCCCCGATGGAATAATTATCTTCCTGTCACTTCCATCTGGACGAACAATTTCGATGACATTTCTCCCCGCATCCGAAAAGTATAGATTCTTGGCAATCCAATCAAAGGCTAATGAATCTAAGCGCTTGATTTCAGTTCGCACAATTGCTCGCAATGCGCCGTTGCTCGTTCCAGAAAGATTGGCTGCATATATTCCACCTTGAATGGCATCCGAGACAATCGCATCCGCAAGGAATAACGTCTTTGACGACCATTCGACTTCCACTGACGTGACGGTTTTTATCTGGTCAATTATAAATTTTTTCAATTATATTAAATAAACATTAATATGGAACATTTAATTTAATAATTACTGGGTGCGCAGACGTGCATAAAAACTTGTAAGGCGAAGGTGACGGACGAATTAAAAAGTTAAAATATGATGCCCACTTTAAACAGATAAATATACATTACAACGATTTAAATTAAAAGTGAACTACAGTAATGATGAACAAAATGAGAAAATTAACCAACTGGGATAAAAATTTTGCATAGCGCAGAAACTTAACGAACATCCATATAATTTTTACCAGCTTGTGAAGCGGAATTTTCCAAACAAACCAAATATGTAAATTTTAGAAAGCAATACTCATACGCTTTGAACCGTAACTTCAAGACAAAGATAAATGAAAGTTTCAGACAAGAAATCGGTAGACCTTAAAATGTAACTAAAAAAGGAGAAAACTTGACAAACCTGGCTCAATGGCAAAGTAGTTGGCCAAAAAAGTCCTTTGTCGCCCAGCGGGATTTTCCCGATCAAAGTGTGAGCTGCAAAAATCAAAGATTCTCTGGGAATTTCCTCACAAGTTTTCGCATCTTCCATCAAACGCAATCCAGTTGGACAGGCACATGTGAACAGCTTTTCGAAATCCTTTCGCTTGGTTCCGTCCCCAATCGCCACCGGTGTACGAAGGCACAAATGCGAACAGCCTCCTTCGTCAAGCCCACACACAGATTCCATTTGCGTCTTTTCCGCCTGATGAAAACGGAAATAACCGCATTCAATTTCGAGAAACAATGCCGCAGACCTATTCGTTGCCTAACACCAGATAATCACTCACAGACGAGAAAAAGGAACTCAATCATACAGGCTATTAAAAGGTTCAGCGAAAGACCCGCCCATTCAAAAGAGAAAGAGCCTATTTTCGTCTGTGCCATTGACAAAATGATGACAAAAACAGGCACTCCTAGAGATGCACTTGATAGATTCATAAGGACCCTCCACGAGAACCTTGCGTATGACTTGGGCTTCTGACTTGGGATAAGAAGGCTCCAAAATTTATAGAAAATTCTGACGTACTTTCAATTGAAAAATTCCGATTCTCGTTCGGGCACAGCTTTTTTTTCTTGCGGAAGAATCAAATGATTCTACATGTGTTCCTTACTGAAGCCCTTGGGAACTTCAATTTCAAAACAGCAAGATTCTTGAACGCAGAATCGTCACAGCAGTCACGTTAACATAAAAATTACTCGAAAGACATAAGGAAACCACGAGGAAGAAAGCTATGAAAAATTTCGCGGTTGATCCTCACACACTGAATAAGGTTTAGTATATTTTTGGATCGAATCTACAAAGAGCAAACAAGGGGGCTTAACCTATATCGTAAGCGCCTTCCTCCTAAACCAGTACTTATATTTTCTTGAATCCTTAATTTTAAATGATCAAACAAAAATACAGTACGAAAATCGAAATGGATGTCAATCCAGCCTAGGGAAAAATGGGACTAAAAACATGTGTCCAATAACTCCTATCGAAAGCGTATTTGTATCTAACGCTACATGACGGCTTTTTCAAAACGGAGCGACACTGCCACTCCATCCAACGACGAGCTACTACAATAAAAAGCGACAAGCTGTCTCACCGAGAGTCTCAATTACGAGACAAAGAGCAGGGGAAGCTATAAAAAGAGCGAGGAAACGCAATTACCCTCACGAGCACAATGTCCACTCCGCGGGACACCAGCGCCAGGGTCCTCTTTGCTCCGCCCGCGCTTCCGAGCTGCACCTCTCTCACTCCCGCCACCTCCCAGTCAGTCCAGAACACCAGGTCACCGCGGGACGCCACACTGTAAGGACGGCCTTCTGCAGGCACCACAACCCGCCGCGCTCCGCCGTCGAACACGCTGCAAGACTCGATCCTGTTCAAGTCGACGTCCGCCCACAGCACACGATTCGAGTACGGATCAAAGGCGATGCCGTTAGGCGTCTTGATGTCAACGTCGATGAGCACGCGGCCCGGCGTGCCGTCCATTCCGCCGCGGACGATTTTCGGTGACAGACCCCATTCCGTCCAAACCAGGAAACCCAAAGAATACACAATAACCAAAGAACTGGGCTTGTCCAGATTCTCGAAGAAGAGAACTTTACGACTCGATCCGTCCAAGTTGGCCACTTCAATAGCCAGGCGCACCATGTCAACCCAATACATCTGAAAAGAAGAAGAAACCGGAGAATGAGATAAAATCACAAAACGAAAAAAAAATTTATGTCTGGGACATGATTATTCGAAAGGTGTCAGATTTTCGGGCGCCGTTTTCGGAAAAGGACAACCAAAGTTATTAGAAATACTATAGGTTGAGGAAATCGACTCTCAACACTTTTTTCTGAATTCTCTACCAATTTAGCCAATTTCACGCCTCACTTGATTATTTTACAAATTAAAATGTTGGGGCATTTTCTTTTTCGTTAAACCTAAAATTGCCTTTTATGAAGCTCCAATACCAAGTGCGAGCAATAAATGGATTCTGGGAATTACCGCATGAGGTTAATCTTGGAAACATTTGTTTGCACCGATACCTGGCAGAAACTTGCAGAAGTTCATCAACTCCAGGATTCGCAAGACGGGGTAATGAGTGATGAATTTGTAGTTTATGGCAGCGAAAATTTAGAAAAATATGAAAGACGGAAATAATCCAAAAAATTCTTCGAAATGATTTGATCATCTTACTCTTGCTTTAAATACTGTACCGTGAGGAAAATACAATACAGGTTTGCTTGTGCGTTGAAATCGGACACCTCGCTAGGATATAAATACGCGACATTAAGCCAGAAATAAGCAGAAAAACTCACCTTTCTCCCCACAGAATCCACAGCAACATCTTCTATGACACCCAAGTCGCGATACACGAGCAACTGGCATTTGCCGGTTTTAGGATCAGCTTTCCCGATGTGTCTAAACGCGGCATCAGTCCAGTAAATTTCACCTGAAATGCACAAAAAATGTAGAAAATTGCATTCCTAGAACTTCGCTATTGCAACAATAGTACTCGTATTTTCGGTCATAAATACGGTGTAGCTAAAAGAACTAAAGAAGACAAATAATTTTCCGAAAATATCAGCGTAAAGTTTAAAAAAATTATGGATTACGAACGGAATACGTGTTGAATGTTTTCGAGGCGGATGGACCTGTTTAGGGAACCTTCGAGGCTAATTCGCAGAAATTTTGAATGAAAGTAAGTGAAACGATCAGGAATCAGACGCGTATCAGTAAGAAGAACGATATAATATATTTCCTGGAAGGAAATACAGTATACCAAAATGCTGTATCTCAGGAGAGTTACCAATATTAATTTCCGTGCTGAATTTATACTCGAGGATCATTGAAAAATAAATGTTGCAGGGGCTTATCTCGTGGGAAACTTTGTGTGCCACCTTTTTCATAAATATGTGTGTTTCGCGGTTATTTGGGAACTACAATAAGACTACAATACTGTACTCACTTGGTCTCTAAATCGAAACGCGAAAAACACAAAAGAAATAAAATCAAGAGAAGAAAGCACGATTACCGGTGGCTGCGTCGACATCGATTCCAACGACGTTCTTCATCGTACAATGTATAGGCAATACGATGTCGGTGTGATACGGCAATCCACGGGGAATCAGCCGTATATCAGTCCTGTTAGCAACGATTAAGGTATCCCTTTGTTGCCAATCCTGACAAGTAAATCCGTCCGGGCCAAGGCTCCAACCCGTGGGACAGCCGCATTTTGGGCGCAATTGCCTCCCGTCGCCTTGCTTTGAATTTCCAGAGGATGCTAATAGACACAGATGGGAGCATTTCGTTTTGCCAACTGGAATAAAGAGAGTAAATTGTGATACCATCCGTTAATTGTGGCCAAGGCATTGAGATTCTTGACAGAAGAAGAGATTATTACCAAAAAGTTTTTCTTGGCGGAAGAAGGAACTCTATTCGTCGTCGAAAACTGACGCTATCGCCATCAGAATTCAAATTTCGGAATGAACACAAAAACAAACGAAGAACAGAAACCAGCTTCTTCATTCGTACAAAGCAGATAATCGAAAGATAAGTATGCCTTGAACTTAATTCATAACTAACAATTTTAGAGATGATTCGCAAACTTGGGAGAGAGAATGAATCACGAATGTCATCAGAATGTGTCGCATGCTTTAGAAAAGATACAGTATTGCTCTTCAAAGCAAGGAGGGGTTTCTCATTCCGCAAAAAAAATCCGACATTGTCATGATTTAAATTCATGCAAATAACTCACCTCGACATGGATTCGTTATCGTAGTTCTCTTTTCATTCCCACTGACACTGAATCCTCTCAGCGCCACCCCAACATCTCCATTCGCAGCAGTGAAATCCATCACCTCCGCCTTGTCGAATCGCCCAGCGGTCAAGTCCTTCAAATCCGCACTTCTCAACAGCCCGTCATTCGCGTCACTCCAATACATTCTCCCATTCAGCAATTCAACAGCAAATGGTCTCCTCGACGGTTCATTGCCCATTATGACTCTACGTTCACTTCCGTCTAAAAATGCAGCCTCGACAGTGTTGGAGTCTCGGTCTACCCAGAATACGCTACGTTTGTTACGCCACTTCATGACTGTCAAACTCCAGGCATTTTTGGCTCGCTTGATGATCACTGTTCGCTGTGAGCCATCCATAACTGCGGTCTCGATAACTTGTTGTCCGGGATCACTCCAGATTATCAATCCGTCCAAGGGAGATAAAGTTAAACTACCAGGAGACGAAAGATTTTCCCAGATTACCAGACCGCGATTCCCGCCATCCAGCTCGCAGACTTCGATGAATTTCCTTTCGGCGTCGATCCAGTAAATTTTCTCCGTAAACCAATCAAAACTCACGCCCGTTACGAGACCTGAAACCGAAAATTGAAACTAGAATCACTTCGTTTCTGCACAAATAAATTCACTCAGTCATCAGAAGTTTTTAAATAAAATTAATTAAAGCCGCTAACAATAAAGTGTTCATAAGTCGAAGTCGTTCATTCATTCGCGCGGTTTCACGAAGTTTACTAGCTAAAATCATAAATTACTATCAAAAGTTCAGATAAAAACCAAATTTACGATCAAAAGTTCAGATAAAAACCAAATTTACAATCAAAAGTTCGTCCCTTCTCAAAATTACGATAATGTAAAAATATTACCTGAAGGAGGTACGTTGCTTACCCAAATTATCCTGAACAATATCTTTGGTTTCAGTTCCATTCCGCATGATGATACTGATCTTCTTGGAAATGGAATCCGACCAAACGATTGAATCCCCAGCAGGATAATAATCCAAGGCTATAGTTTTATTAACACCTCTTGCCGGCAACGCGTAGCTCAACTCTCCGGACGAGAGGGGCAACAAGTAAATCGCTTTTTCTGCGCTCACAAGTAAGAAATTGTCCGATATTTTCTCACAGGTTTTCCTGGAAAAAAATTCGCAAAACTTCGAAAAAATTCTTAAGATAAACGTATTCTAAAACGTACTTATCAGTCAGAAGAGCATAGCCATATCGACATGCGCACTTGTAACTCGTACGCCAAGGTAGACAAAGATGTGAACATCCACCTCGTCTGGGTCCACATCTGTTCGGAAAATCCGGTTGTCGCAGAGGATGCACACTTGAGAAAACAAAATCGAAATTTACCGTAGTTATGAAGTACAGTATAACCGGTATGCTAAAAATAAGCTTCAATATTGAATTAAAGTCAATCCAGATAAAGTAGATAACCATCAGAAGTTTCCTACTTTAAAAAAATATCGTGGACTGCCGGTCCACGCATACAAATTTTCTCAATTTCCTGTTCATTCAAGGAATAGCTCTTGTTTTCTAAAATCCTCGAGATTAAATTGAGACTTACATCGGAGAAGAAACATGACTTCAAATCCGATCTTCGTCGTCAATCATGGAAAATGTTAATGGTAGAAGTCTTCCGGTACCCACTACTGAGGGCAGTAAGCGTATTCTCATTTTAAAAATTCTAGAAGGCGGGGCTAGAAATGAATGAACTATGAAGATTGGGTATTTATTTTTTATTTTTTGAAGGTTTCAATTGAATTCACAGTTGAGCAAGAAAAAATGAAACAATGTCTTATTTATTCATCTGGATTCACGAACTTACAGTGCAGAACATTGAAATCTGAGAATCAGATGAAAAAGGCCCGTAAATGTTGAGCAGGGGAACGTGCTTTTCACATTTAGTTAATTTTAGGGCGGATCTTTTAGAACAAAGAATTTACAACAATTAAATAGTAATTGAGGATTCTGAAAAGTAATCTCACGCGTGAATATCCATCGGCAATGGCAAACCCTTGTGCATCACGGAAGGCCCTCGCTGATCGAACCTCGACAAGGAATAGATGCTTTGTGTCGCCCATTCCGTCCAGAAAAACTTCGTTTCGAATATGGTCATGGCAAATGGGTGGTGAGAACGGCAATCAACAGCTTTCCTTCGTCCAGATCCATTGAGGTTCACAGATGCAATCACACACGGTGATGCAGACACCCAATAAAGACGAGCGTTCGCGAAATCTATTGTTAAACCGTTAGGGCGAACGATATCATCTTTCACCAGAACTTTGACTTCGGATCCGTCTTCCCAGGCAGAGGAAATCTTCGCTTTTTCGCCGTAATCCGTCCAGAATATTCTTCCTTCACCTATAGCATATTTAGAACGAAAAAAAATCTTGAAAATGGGCTCATTTTTTGAGGGGACATCAAGGTATTTGAAGCAGATTTTATTTTAAAGACGAACAGAATCAATCAAATTAATACAGCTGAATCTCTGCGAGTAGAATTCCAAATTTCAAAGGAAGACCAGGAAAAAAATCGACTCAAGGATGTTTCGGGCTACGAATACTACCTTTCTTACTTCGAAAAAAAAGGTGAGAAGAATTCAAGGAAGTTGAAATTAGGGATCCGTTTTGACTCAAAACTGTCTTGCACGGAAGTTGACAGGATGCTGAAGTTTGAGGCAAGGGCTAATTTGCCTGATTATTTTTTTTACTTCCTTTGAAAAAGCTCCAAGTTACATTTGTATTGCTCTCTCTTTCCCCGATCACAAAAATAACAGCCAAATTGTCTCCAGAAAATTTGAGGCATAGAGGTTCGAGGGATTTCAGAGCATTTTTCCCCAAATGAATTCAAAAAGGAGAAGTGACAAACCATCCAATTGGGAGGTATTCGACTTGAAGATGTTCGAGTTATGCAGGTTCAACTGCAATAACAGAAAAAAATTCTAAAATCTTACCTGGGTGAACAACAATTCCTCTGGGCTTATCAAGTCCCCTCCAAATCACACTTCGCCTGAAAGCTCCGTTCAAAGAGCAGACATCGATTCGTTTTGAACCAGAATCCACAATAAACAGCAATTCGTGGATCCAGTCCAAGGCCAAACCCGTGGGATCTTTCAGTCCACCCGAGAGCACGGCTGTCGAAGACACATAATAATTAAAAGTGGAAGATTTAAAACTCAAAGTTAAAAAACGTACTTTCGATTCGATCGCCATCCAAGGCTGAACGCATAACTACTTGTTGCCCGATGTCAGACCAAAATAATAGATTTGCTTCCACGTGAAACTCCAGGGCCACGGCGTTGTGCAGATCTCTAACTAGAACCTTGTAATTCGTCGAATCCAAACCCATCTGCAACAGTGACAAAACCCGTATGAAAAATTACCCAACCTACCTCATTTGCAAATACAATACTTGTGACACAAATGTTTCGCAACAGATCTGAAGTTCCTCAAAATTTTTTCGAAACATTCTGAGCTGAACAATAATTTGGGGCATCAATCTTGATAATATTTTGAAGGCTTAGAAAATTGTTGGCACATACCCGGCGAATATCTTTCGGGTTCGCGTAAATCAAATATGGTGTCGGTTCCGAGGCCTTGCATGAATAACGATCAGGTCGTAACTTGTAACCAGCCACGCAAGAACACGAAAAGCTTCCAGGTGAGTTGGCACACTTCTGATCGCATATTAGGGGTTCATCTTCACATTCATCAATATCCATACACCTGCAGAAGACGATAGAAGTCGAATTAGGCTGCCTTTCTGGTGGGAGAATACTTTGAAACTGAAATCATGCAATAGAAAATAAAATTATTCAGGAAAAATTGAACTGACGTGGTGTTGCTTCCAGGGGTCAATTTGTAACCCGGATTGCACAAACACTGCAGAGATCCGTTACTTTTGACACAACGATCACTGCATTGTGCTTTTGCGCATTCCCCACGAGATGGACATGATAATTCGTCTTCTCCATCCGGACAATCCGCAAGATTATTACAAAGTCTGTCCATGGGATGGCACATATTCTGATCCTTATTCGCGATCGAGCACCGAAAGTGGTCTTCAGGACATTCACTGTGACAACCTTGCTCATCGTCTCCATCTTCGCAGTCGATTTCTCCATCGCATCGGAACTTCCACTGGGTACACACACAAAAAATTGATCAAGTCGTTATCAGAAACGGGAACAATAATCTCTAAAACCTAATAATTTGAAAAGCTAAAAAAGCAAAAGATTTTTATTTCAAATCTTCACTGAAACCCACAAAACTTACAGAAGAAATATATTAAATTTAATTGAAAAATGCTCAGGAGCCCATTTTGGACCATCAGCAGCTGAAATTCGACATCGAAACCTTTTTGGAACCTCACCACAAATACAGATAATTTCGAACACCTCAGGAATTCAAGATGTAGGAAAATTATGTTAAAAAACACACACACACACACACATACTCGCCAAAAGACAGATAGGGTGGGAACTTGAAAATGTTACGAAGTTACAAATACATGAAGAAAAGCCAATTACCTCAATGCAGTCACCGGATTTGCATCTGTAACTTTCATCCACAGGAAGAAGGCACCCTATGTTAGACTGAGTACTTTCGCAGGAAGGCGACTCGTCAGATCCGTCAGGACAGTCGTATTCCCCGTCGCAAACCCATCTCCAGTCAACACACTTATTTCCGCACCTGTTGAAAAAAAAATGCGGAGTCGAACTTAAATTCGACTGTTTCACAAGTAAGTGTTCAAAATTAATGATCGATGTTGAACATTAAAAAATATTGCATTAACTTTGTCTCAATTCATGCTAATGAAGACCACTGACAAACCTGAAACAGTTGTGATGCTTCGCACAGTCAACCTCATCACTTCCTTGTGGACAATCAACGATTCCGTCGCACTTTCTATCTTCACTTAGGCAATGAGGGACATCATCACAGCTGAATTGTCCAGTGGTGCAATTCCGTGATCCAGAGGCTTTAAGGGAAAGTATTGTAATAAGTCACCCAGCAGAAAATTAGCGAATCAAAAGTATATCCCGGAAAACCAAAATATGTTTGAGCAAAATGACTTACTGCACTGGTCTTCGTCAGATGCGTCTGCGCAGTCGGAGAAACCATCGCAAACCCATGAGGAATCAATGCAGCTTCCATCCTTACACCGGAACTGATCAGGACCACAAGAACTGAAATTTACGCATTGAAAAAATCCGGTTCACTACTGAAACAAATTTCAAGATCCTCCGTTATTAGCTGGAACGGGTGCCTAGACTAACTAACATTTAACCTTTCCAACGTACAATAAAACAAATTTCAATGCACTCACGCATCCCTTGAACAGTTTTTTTCGTCACTGTAATCCCCACAATCGTCATCTCCGTCACAAGCCCAGCGTGACTGAATGCATTGTCCATTACTACACCGCAGCAATCCTTCTTGACAATTTTTTCCTCTGTAAGCGTCTGAAAATGAAACCTTTCGTCAACTTGCGATACATCCAAAAACATGGGTGGATCCATACCGCATGCTTCATCACTGCCGTCTTTGCAGTCAGGGTAACCATCGCAAACATATGCTGAATTAATGCAATCTCCAGACCTGTAACACTGGAACTGATCGCGCATACAAGAGTTATGCGAACATTCCCTTTCATCCTCTCCCTCAAGGCAGTCAAATCCGTCATTGCATCGGTACGCAAGGGGGACACAGAGGCAATCTGAAACCGATGAGAAAATTTTAAAATTAAAATCCAATATACTGTATTAGTTTTGTTAAGCTACTCACCATTTCCTCGTGCGGCATTCTGCAGCTTTCCACGATTACGACCTGCCCGCGATATGGATGACACAGCTGTCATACTTTTTGGGCAGGCGACCCATCCTCGGTGACACGGACATTCTTGACGGTACATAGGATCACCTTCAAATGAAGAAGTACGTTTAATCGCGTGCACGAAATCAAGAATAAAGAAGCTTTCCATACGAACCATAAACAAGGTCAATTGATCCAAGAAGAGTCAAGAAAGGAAAATAAGTCACTGCCAAAATAGCGGGCACACATGACACGAACATGGCGCAAGCAGGGAGGCCGCAACGAAGTTAACACCGTCGTTTAACGAAATGAACCTTTCATCTTGGCGAGAAATATTTAATTTCCACACTAAGGTGGAAATTTAAAGTCTGTGGACGAGTTTTTGAAAAAATTACCATTCACGGACACTTCACAACATTCACAACAGATTCCACGACAGTGGAATACACAGTGACACTGCGAAGCAGTTTAAAGAAGGGGATAATCTTCGCGTTTCAGAAATATCAGATCAGGTGTATACGGCACAGCATATTCCCCCAAAAAGTACTCCAATGTGTGCTATAGCATCCGGCGGGTTTATTCGAATCTGCGGAGAGAAATTCTGCTGTGGTTCATTTCACAAAATTCAGAGGAAAGCTGATTCTGCGGTGATTCTTGAAGCGGCGTTTACTTTGACGGGGAAAAAATGTTCAATTCCGCGGAAATCTATCTTCACAGGAGACTTTACACAGATTGATTGCAAAATGTGTGCAAAGTTATAATACTCTCCATTCCGTACCATTTTATAACAAAAACAGTATAAAAGCTTAACGTAAGTATCTTCTCATTAAAAAAATCGTACAAAATTGAGGAGTATTATTTGGAGCGTGTGTTACACACGGTAGGTGGTCTGTACCGGCCTCCTGTGAAATTAGATTTCCGTAGAATTGTTCGTACCAAAGTAAACGCCCCTTCAAGAACCATGCAATTAACTTTCCTCTGAATTCTATGGAATGAACCACCGTATAAGTGCTCAATACTGAAATACACCCTCCGCACTTCACCTCGCGGATGTGTTCAGCTCCACCGTCAGGGGGATTATGCTGTGCCTCGGGAGTTTGCCCTAGCGACGCGACGTTATAGTAAGGGGTTTGTTGGTGACGATCAGACGAATACGGCTTCCCGACCCGTCTCTTGGAACACTATTAGTAGGTGTCACTTCAACTTTAAAAACACAAGTAAGCATGATTTTCAATACTGACTACAGCAATAATCAAGAACGACCTTTATAAGGAATTTAAGCAAACATTCTTTTCATATTTTCGAAATTTTTCTTCATCATAAGCTTGCATGAAGCGTACAGTACTAACGATATTTCGTTCTATAGTATTTAATTTCCGTCCTATCTACCTACCGCAATTTTTGTCCAGCTTAATCCATAGGATCAACACCTCTTCCTGATGCCTCTGCACGTGTGCGGTTCTACGCCGCCTGAAACTTTCCTCAGTCGCGGGAGTTAATTCGGGTGGACTCAGCAATGCGGCGTGAGTATTGTTAACGGATCAATTCGTTTACGGTCTGCCACGGATTGCGAGATGCATTGAATTATTTTCAGAGTAACGGACGTGATTCTTGTGATCTGTCGTGATGGAATCCTTGCGGAAAGGACCATCTTTAAGCTGCCGTTATGCCATCTATTCTTACAATCCTCAGCGGTGCCGTGAATATTCTCAAAACGGACTCAAAAGTGAAGATTCTATTGATTTGGAGGATGTTTCTCCAGCTCCCAGTTGTAGCTTTGGGTGAGTTCCTCTTGATGCTTTTTGTGTCCCGAAAGCACGCGGATTTGTGAAATTGCACATATGGTCTGAAAGTTCGTCACACCTAAACTCTGTCTGGATTACAGGATTTTACCAGACGTCAATAGTGATGAGGAAGGTGTTGGTAACCGGATGTGGTGGTTAGTGTTCTGGTTATTGTGCTTCGTTCTACTTCTTTGGTTTTTAAATTGAGGTGCACTCGGTATTTGGAATTTTATGACGGATTTCTTTCAATGTAGGTTAGCTTTGATAAGGGATGTATTGACTATTTCAGTTTATCTCTGGTGTGTGGCAATTTGGAGCCAGATTTAGAAGTGGATTTGAGACCCTTTGTTGCCAAACGAATTGGTCGCGGATTACTGGGAATTGGTTCTACCCCTGTTTCTCCCATGGATTTCAAGTCAGTTCATTTTCAATGTAGTTGAAATCAACATATCCGGAAACTGTTTCATACGCCCAAGGGTTCGTTTAATCCTTCCAATATATTTCAAGACTCCCATCGGAATCTGGTCGTGTTGTACCTCTGGCTCATTCATTTTGCACAATGCTTTCTCCTGGACCGAAGAGTAAAGCTGTGAATAATGACGACGACTTGAAGCTTATCATCTGCCTCTTGTGTAGCTCGCCGCATTTGTTGAGAGCTTACAATTTAGAGCTCTTGCAATTTTGTCAGCGGGTAGCATCGGAAATCAATGCCGAGGTAATTTCCCTCTCGGATAGTTTCACCCTACTGTAACGTTAATTCCCGTCTGTTTTTTATTTCAAGAGCACGGAAATTCCGAAGGAGACGAAAGCCAAAATGGCATCATGGGACACCCAAACGCATTATATTAGCAATTGTCTATCGTTACTCGGGCATGAAAATACGTCTCTTTTACTTCAAGCAATTCTCGAAAATCGCATTCTGGAAATCAGTTCTGACGACGCTGATCTGGAAACCAGTTTGCGTCAGCTTTGGGAAACTTTCAACATAGCCAAAATTGTTGGTGCCCACGACGATCAACAAACAACGAAATTCTCGCTTGTGGTGAAAAGAGATGACATTAACATTTTTGGATTTGATCGCTCTGCCTCAAATTTTGCTGCTGAATGGGCGCGTGTTCTTCATCATCACGTGAGTGATCATGTGAAATTGAAGGATCACTTCGACGCTTTCAATGGGAAGGTAATCACAATTTTCTGTATTGGTTGAAGAAATCCCGTCAGTCATCTATCCCTATATCCCGTCATGTGACCTCAAAATTTAGGTAGTGTATAACGTTTTCACGACCTTCCGTGATGAATTACTGCATGTAAGGTCGGTTCCGGAATTATATAAAAGAAAAGGGACGGGAAGAAGTGGGGAGCGAATATCTTTTCCAAAACATATACTGTATTTTCGGAAATACATTCGCAGCACTGTTACTGCCCACGTAATTTTCCGTGAGCCATGGGGTATATTGAAGATTTAACGAGACAGGAACCTTTCATGCTAAGAGAGGGAGGGAATGAGTTCAGCACAACACTAGCATTTATTAGCGAAGTCTGATCAAAATCTGCGATGAGTTCGGGATTTTATTTTTGCACTTTTCGTCCTTCCCAGAGTTTTCGTTTTTGCTGTTGATAAAATTTTATCAAGTAATTCGAAGAAAAATACTGAATCGCGATGAATTCTTTTTATTTTTTAGATCGTTCAGATATTGAACAACCTCAAACGAATGGTGAAGGCTGGAGATGCATCGTATCATGCGTTATTCCGGTCTTCGCTCTTTCTTCGATGGACCGGTGCTCCTGTAACTTTTCTGAAACATGTTAGAGACCAAACAGACGCCGCGGACGCCGAAATGATCGAAGTCATCGATGTCCTCCGGGAATTCCTCATTGAAGAAGGCTTCCGGGATTAATTTCCTGATAAATAATCTCTCTCTTCCATTACTTGAGCTTTAATGTCTAGCGTCAATTTGTGCCACCTGAAAGCAGTCGTTTGTCTGTGATCTCTCATTTTATCGTTCCGTGACGGTTGGGTTCATTTTAATTGGTTTTATAATTTTTTCTGCTCTTCAGTAATGCATGCTGTTGAATTGAATCGATGTTTCTAGGTTAAAAGTTCGGGTTATTGGCGTTGGAGGCATCGTATTGTCGACAAAATGCTCTGTTTGGTCAGTATTGTTCGTTGTAGTCGGCTAAAAAGGGTGAATTATACCAGACTATCGCAGTGCTTATTCAGGAAATTATTTCAAGCGTTTGCTTCATCCTTCCGAGATAATCCCGCCAGAATGATTACGGTAAATCCCTGAATTTTCTGTTGAATTATGCAATTCTCAGAATCGGAGTACCATTTTGTTTTTACTTGAGTACCACAAGCGCCTTTTTTCTCAAAATCAAGAAAAGAAAAAGGGGAGCGCGTCACATGCCGGTATGCATTTTTCGACATGTTTTAGAAATTTAAGCGTATTTTATGATCGATTCTAAAGGGAAATCCTGAACCAATTTGAGAAGAAGAACGTATTTTAATGAAACAATTTAAAAATACATTACTGTACAATAGTTAAATTTCGGTTTAATTCGTGTCTGAATTTGAATTTTGGTGCTCTATTTTTTAATGTTGCAGTTTTAGTGGAACTGAAAATGGTGTGCGCGTCTTACTTGGGGTTAAAAAGCCTTTTGAGATTAAAAATCCTGGTGTGTGTTACTTGAGTAAATACGATAAGTTACTATGATAAGGCTCTTGTAAAAAGCTTACAAAAGGCGTGTTTTTCTCAGGTCTACCGTTGTCATCTTAATGAACTTAAGCGTGTAACCGCAGATTCTTTTTCTGATATTGACAATTTTTGAGCGATAAATGCTAAATAATTGAATTTCTTTTCAAATCAAGTCGCACGAAACTTAAAAAATTAAAGCAGTTTCAATGGAGATAAACATTTTTAAAGGAATCGGAAAAATATGGACATGATTGGTGTTTTTCTATTGGAGGCATTATATTCAAGATGATTTTTATTTATTTGAGGTGATGAAAATCGATCATTGGATTTCTTACGCGTCCAGGAAGATTATATCTTTTACTCCACTTGAAGTTTTGTGAATGATTTTTAAAGAATTCAAGTTATGGTTTTGTCGATTGAAATTGCAACATACTTGTGAACCAAGGGATCGTTTCGGGAGGAAAGGTGAAAACTGGCATTTTAATCTATGAAAAAGTTTTTGATTTTATTGTACGAACTCAATTTAGGCACTCGGATTTGACGAATTCTGGTGGTTTCACGTGTTCATTTCGCCCTGCCTCGCAAATGGCTGGAACGGGACTGATCGTAATTACGAATCCCGTTCACCTGGCGCGCGCAAACCTCGCGAAACTTCTTTCTCTCGCTGCAAACCGGATTTCCAAGCGAGTGTACGTCAAATTGGAGCCAGAATTGCAAACCCTGTGGCCCTTGACTTATCGTTGCCCTTGGACTCTCAACTCCGGCAATTGTTCCAAATACGGGAAAGTTGTTACCGAAATATATTTCAACGGGCTCAGATCCTCGAGTTCGTTGGACGTGAGGGTATTGATCGGAAACCTGAAGCAAAAGGACTACAACATTCACACCAAATCTCCGGTGGAGGTGGTTTTCTTCGACACAGCGTTTAGTCAGGATGAGATGAATGCTTATGTGAATCATTATGTTCCGAATCGGTCTCCGGGCTGTGCTTGGGCATCTTTTAGTGGATTATCTCCGGAGTCGGAATTAGCGTTGAGGGATCTAGAAGGACCAGCTTGGAATGACTTGCCGATTGTCCCTGATGAAAGGACAGCGAAGTGTAGTTCGTTTGAGTTAAACACTATGGTGGATCATTCAGTTCTTGGTGGGACTTTCGATAGACTGCATTCCGGACATAAGGTGCTACTTTCTGATGCCGTTATGAGGACCAAAAAGCATCTAACTGTCGGGGTGACTGATGGACCTTTGATTAGGTGTGAGTAATGCTCAGATCGAAAATCAAGTGTGTTTTTTTTTTTCAAGTACAGTACAGGGAAGAGCAAAATTGGATTTTTACGCTTTGTTCAGAGTTACCTCCTTGCAAGAAACGTCAAATTAAAATCAGTTCAATTGCAGTATGCCCGTTCGCTTTCTCACCTTTGAAATAAGGATCTGTCCGTTTTCTGAATTTTAAAAGCCTACATATTCTTTAACTTTCAAAATAGCCATGAAAGTTGATAAAATGTGTCAACGTCGTCATCCATGCCTTTCAACCACAGGTCGTAAGGTACGGAATATCTGGCGATTGAAGAATCGCCAGATATTCAACCTTAAAAAACTAAATGGAAATGGATTGTGTCCATTCACTTCAGGTATTGCATCACTGCTTGAAATTATTTTTTCTTCTGAGCATCGCTTTGTGGATTCGTTCAAAATAATATTCTAGTATTTCGTCGTAAGGAATTAAAGTACAGTATTATATTATCCATTCAGATGCTACTTTAGCTTCAAAATAATTTTTAATTGCTCACATTCGCAGCCAAGAAATTAAAGGAGCTCATTGAACCATGCTTGGATCGTATGCAGCATGTGAGAGATTTCCTGGAAGACATTGACCCATCCCTCACTTACAGCGTCGTTCCTATTGTGGATCCAATGGGACCTACAAAAACTGATACAACTATGAATGTAAGTTTCGAAAACCGACAACCTTTTATTCAAATTTCGTCCAAATATTTTTGAAGTTTATTACTGTATAGATATCCTGCTCGATTTTATTTTATTGTGACCCTCTAAAGAAGTCGCTAATGTGTAACTATCGCAGGCTATAGTTGTCAGTGAAGAAACACTGAAAGGTGGTGAATTGATTAACGAATATCGGGAGAGAAACGGGCTCGGAAAATTGATCATTCACTGCGTCGGTCTTCTGCCGGAAGAGATGCGGGAAAGTTCAGAAGAAGAAGATAAGGTTTCTTCATCTTCGCGAAGAATGCGATTGCTGGGAACTAGGCTCAATACACCAAAAGTGAGTTTTTTTCAATTATCATGCTGTTATCGTAAAATGGTGCGTTCCAAAACATTAGGAGAAAAACTATCCAAGCTCCGACTAATACAGGAAAACATCATTTTCATAAATTATCATCGAGGTATACAAACAGGTGGACTCTGCCGACAATGAATCCAAGGTATCACAACAAAACTTGTTGTAGAGAGAGTTACGTTGTGAAGAACCTTCATGAAACGAATAGAGACCCCTATGTGACGGAAAAAAAGATTCGTTAGGCAGAGAAAATCGTGAAGATGGTCTAACTGTATTGGATTTATTTTCGTGCTTTTATTGATGAGAATCTCAGACATTCAAGATGCTTACATAACCGCGCAGCTTTAATTATTATCTGACACTGCGAAAGTGTTTTACCTGAACACCGTTTGAATGTGACTGTTCCTCGTCTCAGTTGCTTTTTTGTACGTCCAACGGGATGTTAACAATTTTACGTCATTTTATTCCGGAAGTTGATATTTGTATTGATTTTGCGGCAATTGCAGATACCGTCAGCTTTACCGTACGTCGTCGGATTAACGGGAGGAATTTGTAGTGGGAAATCCTCCATTTGTAAACGTTTGGAGAAATTGGGTGCAGCTGTAATAGATTGTGACAAGCTTGGCCATGAAGCGTACAAACCGGGCTCGTCGTGTTACCAAAAAGTAATCGAAGCATTCGGCGAGGATATCGTGACCGCTGATGAAATGATTGATCGTAGGGCATTGGGAAGAAAGGTTTTTGGAAATCCGGTGAGACAGTTCTGAATGTGTGAAATCGGGCTCGTTGCAAGAGGCCGTTTTTGATTCCAGGAAATGCTGAAAACGCTGACTGGAATTGTGTGGCCTGAAATCAGGGCGGAAGCTGTGCGTTTGATTGCGGTGCATCGGGATGCGGGTCATGATGTTGTGGTGTTGGATGCAGCCGTGTTGGTGGAAGCTGGTTGGACAGACTTGTGTCATGAAGTCTGGGTGTCGATTATACCTGAAAACGAAGTAGGATTCGTTTTTAAAAATCTTAAAATTACTAACTTGGCTGTTGACTGTAACTCCAAGAATGTAGCTTGATGCGAAAGTCTTAAATAATCTTACCTAATACAGTAGACGAATCATGACTAGCCAAATGTTCTTTTAAATAACCGAACCGATTTACTTGGGAGGTCTAGGTACTCTAAAGGAGAAATCCATTTTCAAGTTTATTGATCGCAGTGCTTCTTTCCCTTATATTTGTTCTAAACTTTTTGGTGTCTGACTTGTGTTACAGACTATACGAAGAATTATGGAACGTGATGGGCTTTCCGAAGAAGATGCCAAGAAGCGTGTTGCCTCGCAATTAACAAACGAAGCCCGCATTGAAAAGTCTCACATAGTTTTATCTTCCTTTTGGGCTCCCGAATACACACAAACTCAGGTGGAAAAAGCTTGGGGGCTTGTGCAGGAAAGCATTAGTCCGTTGTGTAAGATGCGCCGAAACCAGAAAAGCTGAGAGGAATTTTTGATAAAAAATTAAATTGAGTTCGTCGCACTTCTGCTGAGAATGTAGTGAATGGTTGAAGGTTCCTTTTTTAAATTCAATTTGCGTATCTTAGGGCTGAAGGTTCTTAGCTCTGTTTTTCCATAAATTTCATGTGAGACCGTATTCCTTCCATGAAAACTGCACTCTGCAGTTTTAATGAGTGAAACGAAACTTCATGTTTTGGCTTTAGTATTGAAGATGGCGATCAGGGAAGAATTCTGAACTATTCCAGATCTCGTCCTTTTATTTAAGTATCATGAATATGGCTTCCAACTTGTTAAGCCATGTAATTTTTGGGACCTCTGGCATTTCAAGGTAGAAGAGGGCTCTTTTCTCCAGTTTTTCCGGCATTTCTTCATTCTTGTCGTGGGATCCTGACGCATATTGTGAAAGTACATTGTCTAGATGTCGCTGAACTTACGTGGGTCTGTTACTAGTGTGCCGTATGCGCGGCACGCGCTTACCTTATCCGTTTCTTCCTGTTTGTGGAGGGCATGATGTGCGGTTCCTCGCGGTTTCTTTTCGCGTTTCACGTTATGTCTTTTGTTTTCTCCGATATTGTTCGGTTTTTGGAGTGGTAATGTGTTCGAGGAGATTCGTTAATTTTGCAATGAGGACGGGAAAGCATTGTCTTAAAATACGGGAAGGAAAACCTAGGTTGGATCTCTTGTGCGATGCAATGCCGGTTTTTCAATAAACAATGGCATGGTTTTATTTTTTATTTCAGGTAATTGCGGTGTGGAAAGAATAGCATAATGTGGAAAGTGTCGTCGAATTATCCTTTGGTGTCCGTGACGGAAAAATTGCTTCTGCGCCCGGCTTCAGCATGTACTTCGTATCAAAAAGTGAGCTTCGAATTAAACTTTACGAGTTTCGGAAAAATTAATTTTTTCGTGCGACTGATCGTAGAGGAGATTGCAAAGAAAACCATTGGACTCAGAATGGTGTGCCCTCGCAAAAAAGCAGTTGAAAGGAAAAGATCCTGCTGCAACATTGACATGGCACACAACTGAGGGAATTGACATTAAGCCCTTGTACACGCCGGATGACGTTGCTGGGTAAGTTGTGAGTGATTCTGTGAACTGTGTGTGTTTTTTTTTTTTACATTCTTCTCAAGCTGTAGTGAGGCCTAAATCAGGCGATGATGCAGTAGAATTTTGTTACTAGCTAACTTCGAATTTTTTACTCGAAGGCTTGAGAAGGAACTTCCGGGTCGTTTTCCTTACACCCGTGGTCCGTATCCAACGATGTATTCTCAGAGACCCTGGACAATTCGCCAATACGCGGGATTTTCCACTGTTGAGGAAAGCAACCGGTTTTATAAGGAAAATTTGAAAGCCGGTCAGCAAGGTTTGAGTGTCGCGTTTGATTTGGCAACCCATCGTGGGTACGATTCCGATGACGCACGTGTTCACGGTGACGTTGGAATGGCCGGTGTCGCCGTCGACAGCGTTGAAGATATGAAAGCTCTTTTCGACGGGATCCCATTGGGGAAAATTTCCGTGTCGATGACGATGAATGGAGCCGTCATTCCGGTTCTCGCCATGTTCATTGTCGCTGGGGAAGAACAAGTTAGTCCACTTAAATTGATTGAGTAAATTTTTGTGAATCCAAATTCGTGGTAATGTTTTACTGGTTTATTTCGGTTGTACTAGTCCAACGAAAAACTTAGCTTTCTGCAGGTTATGTTAGCGTAAATCTGGAATTTGTGTCGAAGGAAAGGAAACTACAATTTTGTAAGACGAGATTAAATTCTTTCTCCACCGATTCACTCAATGAGTTATCATTTTTCTGCTCTTCGAAGAGGTAATTGAAACTTTGGTATATTAAAGGAAAAAACCCCTTGTGATCTATCTAATCCCCCGCTGATCTGGCATTCATCCGCGAAATAACAATAGTTTTATATTTTCCTGATGATACAACCCCCATTATATTTCAGTAAACAATAATCAAGTTTTCAAAATGCCAAAAATCTTTCCTTTCGTCTCATGGTCTACATTTTTCAGAAATTCTCCTTCCTTCGTATCGTTACGCCTGCCTTCAGCTGCAATAAAAAATTATGCAGTCGTATCGGATTAGGGGCTAATGAGCTGGTGTTATTTTCTTTCGCATTCTTATTTGAAGGGAGTGAAGATTGCAGATCTTTCTGGTACAATACAGAATGATATTCTGAAGGAGTTCATGGTCCGAAACACCTACATTTACCCTCCAGATCCTTCCATGAAAATTATTGGAGATATTTTCAGCTACGTATCCTCTGTGAGCATTGAAACTCGATCCAAACAAGTCACTGTGCTATGATGGCATTATGTTTTTCTCCTTGAATTTTCTGCCCAGAACATGCCGAAATTCAATTCCATCAGTATTTCCGGCTATCACATGCAAGAGGCTGGTGCGACTGCGGTTTTGGAAGCTGCCTTCACTCTAGCTGATGGATTGGAATATTGTAAAACTGGAGTTAAATCAGGCTTACCAATTGACCAGTTTGCCCCACGTCTGTCGTTCTTCTGGGGTGTTGGCATGAACTTTTATATGGAAATCGCCAAGATGCGAGCTGCCAGACGCTTGTGGGCTGTAAAACTGGAGTTAAATCAGGCTTACCAATTGACCAGTTTGCCCCACGTCTGTCGTTCTTCTGGGGTGTTGGCATGAACTTTTATATGGAAATCGCCAAGATGCGAGCTGCCAGACGCTTGTGGGCTCACACAATTCAGAAGTACTTCAGTCCCAAGAATCCCAAGTCTACAATGCTACGTACGCACAGTCAGACTTCTGGGTGGTCACTGACTGAGCAGGTAATTTAACTGTAAAAAAGATTGGAGCAATGTGAACTTTTATGATACTGAATCGGTATTCACAATCCCAAGGACCCTTACAACAACATCATTCGAACTACAATTGAGGCCATGGCCGCTGTTTTTGGTGGAACCCAATCTCTTCATACGAATGCATTTGATGAAGCACTGGCTCTGCCTTCCAAGTTTTCTGCTCGCATTGCCAGAAACACTCAAATCATCCTTCAAGAAGAGACGGGTATCCCGAAGGTTCGTTTTTGCTGCAAAAAAAAAAATCGACTGGGAAAACGATTGCATAGTTTGTGTAAAATCGATTTTCTTTCATCTGTTGGCGAGATTGTTGCTGGTCATAGGATTTCGTTTTAACTAATATCACAGTTTTTGCTGCAATCGATGCTGTCTCAACAAAATATATATGTTGAACTTGATAAACTTGACTTGTATTGCTTGGTTGACTGAACAACTTTTTAAATTTTTTTCGTTGATACTGTAAATTTTTTTATGAACAATATTTTATTGCTGGAGAAACTGTTCCTTCACTGTAAAAACTTCGTCATTCTCATATAGATTTTTTTCGTGAAATGCTCCAGTCAGAAGAGATATTCGCACTTATTTCGTAAAATCTGTATGATCTTGTTACCGTATAATTGTCAGTACGGCAATATTTTCAAAATTTTTTTTAGATCATCGATCCGTGGGCTGGTTCATATGCGATGGAATCCCTCACCCAAGAAATTTATGATTCTGCTGCGAACATAATGGCAGAAGTGGAGGAACTTGGTGGAATGGCGAAAGCTGTCGCGTCTGGCTACCCGAAATTGAAGATTGAAGAATGTGCTGCCCGTCGCCAAGCTCTTATTGATTCCGGAAAAGGTGCGATTCCACAAGTCGTTGTTCTCCGAATGAAATTAATTAGATAATGATATCCGCAGTTGTAAGCGAAAGAATAAATGATTGTGGGCAGAGGTTATCTTGCTAAGCCAAAAAATGTTTGCCAATGATTTTCTCGCTTCTCAATTTTTACAGAAGTAATTGTGGGTGTGAACAAGTACCGTTTGGAGAAGGAAGACCCAGTTGAAGTTCTTGTCATCGATAACACCAAAGTGCGAGCGTCACAAATCGAAAAGCTTGAACAAGTATGTAATATGATTTTCGATGCGAAATTCTGTAATCAATCTTGGGTTCTTGTTTTCCGTAGATTAAGAAAAGCCGTGACAAGAATCGTGCGGAAGCAGCTTTGAAAGCTCTCGAAGAAAGTGCAAGAACTGGGCAAGGAAATTTGCTTGGTTTGGCTGTTGAAGCATCTCGCGCTCGCTGCACTGTTGGTGAAATTTCAATGGCAATGGAGAAAGTCAGTTAAGATGAATTCCTTCCTTCATTTCCATAGTTGAATTTTAAATCTACAGGCATTTGGACGACACGTTGCAAAAGTTCAGCTCGTTTCCGGAGCCTACAAATCTGAATATGGCTCGAAAGGGGACCTGGAGAAGGTTGTCGAAAGCATCAACAAATTTGTTGGTCTTGAAGGACGTCGTCCGCGTATCCTTGTTGCGAAGATGGGTCAAGATGGTCACGATCGCGGGGCAAAGGTCATCGCGACTGGATTCGCCGACGTGGGATTCGACGTTGACGTCGGCCCACTTTTCCAAGTCAGTAATTTTGTCACGAATTAATTGACCTTGCCTTATGCCCGCAAAAATTATTTGTACTTACAATACTGAATTTTCAAAGTTAGCCTTTGAAGAATCTACGTGTATGTGGATTGCGAAATCATAGCTTGTTGGATGATCAAACATTTTTATTAAATTTTCATAAGCCTATATTGTTTCTTATTGTATAAGTAATTTTATATTGAACTTTTAGACCCCGCAAGAAGTCGCCCAGCAAGCCGTGGATGCAGATGTGCACGTTGTTGGAGCGTCTTCTCAGGCTGCTGGTCACAAGACCTTGATTCCAGAGCTGGTGCAAGCACTGAAGAAGCTTGGACGTCCCGACATCATGGTTGTGTGTGGTGGCGTCATCCCCCCGCAAGACTACGACTTCTTGTACAAAGCTGGCGTGTCGTTCATCTTCGGCCCAGGTAACACAAACGAGATTTATTAATCTCCTTTTTACGTCCCGACATCATGGTTGTGTGTGGTGGCGTCATTCCCCCGCAAGACTACGACTTCTTGTACAAAGCTGGCGTGTCGTTCATCTTCGGCCCAGGTAACACAAACGACATTTATTAATCTCCTTTTTACGGTACATCAATTCATGATTTCTTTCATTCCTATTCAGGCACCAAAATTCCGGTAGCTGCTACCGAGGTGGTTGAAGCGCTGACGAAGAAAATTGGCAAGCGTCAGGCCAATTGAGAAATATAATGCGGATTCTCGTGGACAAAAGAAGGGAGATTCAGCGGAGAGTGTGTTATGAGTTTAAATCAAAATGCAACCCTCTTACTCCTTTGTCTATCTCTTGTACAAATGTGTCCGTGCGAATCTCTCAAGCGTCCATACTCCGAAGACATGATTGCCGTGATGTGGGAAAGGAACTCGTTCGAACTGAACCTTGAGGTTTAATTTTTTTGCTATTCGTTCAAGTGCAATGCATACCTTGGTTGACTTAATGATTTCAACATTGTTACTAATTAAGCTTCCTAGTCAAACGTTGTTGGAGAGGTGATATATGGGTTATCAGACTGAATGCTCGTAATATGGTGACTTTTTTCCGTGTGGCGGTGTTTCATTTCTGCTTACCTTTTTCTGTTGACTCCGTGCCTTGAGCACAGACTTCAGCTTTTCAAACCCAAATAAATTATTCACCGTATTTTTAAAAGTTCATCACGCCTTGTGTTTGTTTGAAGGAAAATGTACTCAATTTCAAAAGCTGTGAACCCGCGTTTGTCAGGCTTGGCGAAAGCCATTAGATCAGGTTTCGGTCAACCAAAGCGTATGCATTCAGCCATTCGGTAGGTATATAAAAAAATATCAGAATTCCCCGTTGATCCATAATTTTCTCATTTTCAGGTCTAATATCAGACGAAATATTTCAAATACTATTTCGGAGAATCATTCCAAGTCACATTACCCATCGATTTTCGTGTTCATGACCGCAACTGTGATCAAAGCTGCCGGTGATGGTTTGCAGGAAATCCTTTCTGCTACGGATGGAATGTACGAACGACAAGATTTCGATGGAATCATTTCGAGATTGTCCCAGCTGAAGGTGCATCGAAATCCAGGATTTAATGAGTCAAAAGTTGATGACGCATTGTTTACTTTTCTGTAGAAAGAAAAAATAGTTGAGGTTAACTGGCGATTGGCGAGAGCTTTATACGAGGTTAGCAAAACGAAGTCTGAACCCGAGAAACAAGAAATGTTGAAGGAAGCCTTGATTTTGACGGAAGCTGCGTATGAAATTGACGCTAATAATTTTGCTGTTCACAAATGGTTGTCAATCTTGGTGGACGCCATGAGTAATTATGGTGGGCTAAAACAGCGGATCATTGAATCCAAGCGTGTTTTGTTTCACATGCAGGTTAGTGAAAATGTTTGAGCAGTATTTTATGAATCACAGTACAGTTGAACAAATTTTGCAGAAAGCATGTGAACTGAATCCGACTGACGGTACTTCGTGGCATCTTCTAGGCCTATGGTGAGTACGTTACGGTTTTGGCGCGATTCCAGGTGCCTGTCTTATTTTAAGAGGATCACGTGAGATATTTTGCGTGGTTTGTCGCGTCTTGTTATATTTATAACTCAGGTGCTTCTCTGTCGCTGACATCCCGTGGTATCAGAGGAAAGCTGCGAGTACTTTCGTCGCAACACCTCCGGAATCAAGTTTCGAAGAAGCATTGTCGCATTTTTCGCGCGCTGAAAAAGTCGAGCCGAATTTCTACAGGTTTGTTGTGATTTTTAAAATGCTGGTTCTGCGCGTATACTTTAATGGAATTTGGGAATATTCGTAAAAAAAAATTGATTCGTGCATAGTGTGAGAAATCTCATTTGTTCCGACATTTCTCAGCTTAATTTATGTCGAAGTTCTGCAACAATTTAACTGCTGCTATAAGAATTCAGTTGTAATTTTTTAAATGCTCATGCAATTTTATGAAAAACTTTGTCGTAAAACTTTGAAACCCCGAAATTTTGTATGGACAATTTTGGAGGCAAGTTTCACTTTTTTTTGAGTTTCCATACCTTCCAAGTCTTCGCTTCGCCGGGTATAATATGAGTTGATCTTAATTTACTGTATTTTCGAATCTGGAACAGCATGAACTTGCTGTACATTGGTAAGGTGTACTTGAAGCTGGGAAAGAAAGATGAAGCTCGTCCTTATCTGGAGCGTGCCGCATCATATCATATCGTCACCGATGACGACAAAAAGGTTAGTCATGAAATCAGTTTCACCTCAAAACTTGCCAGAAATGGTACTACTGTATAAAATGTCTCACGAAGCGAAATCTTTTCTACTCTTCCGGTTTTCTCACCTGACGTAATCCGTTTTGAAATCCTTCATGTTCGATGTAGGCAACGATTGAAGCGGCTCAATTATTGAAGAAACTTTGAGCTGTGCCAATTGGAGATACAGTACATAGCATGGACCAATTTTGGAAGAAATATTTTGAAGCCCAAAGTGATCGAGTTTTTGGTGGGTTTATTTCATTCGCGTCGTATTCAGTTTTGCGGAGATTATTTGTTAATGCTGAGGAATTGTTGAATTGAACATATGGATCGAAAACTTATGAATTTTTGTATTGGTAAGCGATCTCGAAATGAAAATGGGTTGACTTCGGTGATTATTTATTCATCAGAAAATTGAACGGGTCGGTCGTGTGAAAATGTTGAATTGATTCAAGCTGCCGTATTTCCTGCCGTTGCGAGCGTATTTATTGAAAAAGCTGATTTGAATACCTCGCGCGAATTTTGTTCGGATATTATCCTACGTTTATTTCTTTAGTGATATTCGCGCGATTTCCGTTGAAAGGTTTTTTCCCCCCACGTGCGTACAGTGACCGAGTGTAGTACAGTATATAAGTGTACCTGCCCGTCAGTTATCGCGAGGAATCCTCTTATAAATTTTTTTCACGCCTCAGTTTCTTCCCCGGTGACCTAGATTTTTGATATGTAGGGGAATGGTGCAACGACATCGACTGACAACATCATGGATCTCGCGCAGACAAAGAAAGACTGGCTCAAGATCGATGCCAAGTTCATCGCTCTGTTTGTTGCTGTCCTGGTGTCTTTCGCTAGCTGTCTGATATTCCATCTGTTCTTTGTTGCGTCTTTCAAGCCCTTGTACGCCTATCAGCCCATTCAAGGCTCGCATATGCTTAAGGAACCTGTGAAAGAGCAGAAAACGATAGTTGCCGAGAGGAGCAGGATATATTTTATGGACACCTCCTTAGTGTGCGTTGGTTTTATTTCTATGGAGGAATATATCTTATTGTTTCTGCCCCCCCCTTTTTTTTAGGAAAACTCTGTGAGGAAAAACTTTCTTCTATACATCCGATGAGATCAATTCAGAAGTGTTGCTCTCTGGATAAAATTACTATTTTATTAAAACTATCGTCATATGTAAGAGTCATTTCATCGGGTTAAATCCGCAACGTGAATAAAATGAAAATACCAAAATTCAGAAATCCTCCACTTAAGCTTGGTTATAATTTATTCTGTAATAACTAAACGTCCTTTTGAAACCGTGCCTAATATAGTCGTAGGTTAAAAGTTAATCTGTTTATACTGCATTCATGCTGGTGACATAATTCGAAAGGTCAAACAATTTTGTACGAGAAAGTGTTGGCGAAAATCCATATTCTGAACGTTCACAATTTTAAAAGTTTTATGATCGGCGCATTATCTTATCATCTTTGAAACGGTACTATACTACATGCATCAGTATGATGATTAATTTATAAGCCTTGTACAGTTGAATGAAGTTCTCGTCAAGACCAGTCACTTTTAGGAGGCATGATTCCATTGAATTCAGGGCCATAGTTATTTTTAGCCTATAATTCTTCATAATTTCATGAAATCAGATTCTGAGCGAAGAATATTTTGTTGCTTCTGTATGGATGCATAAATAGATGGCAGATGAACTGCTGTGCGACAGTACTATTATTCAGCTATTTTTCTGATATAATTCTTCATAATTTCATGAAATCAGATTCTGAGCGAAGAATATTTTGTTGCTTCTGTATGGATGCATAAATAGATGGCAGATGAACTGCTGTGCGACAGTACTATTATTCAGCTATTTTTCTGAAATTGTATCTCTGTCTTATTTTTCATTATAAAACACGGTATATAATGATGACTGAAAAATTAAAGCCTGGTTCCAATGAGAACAGCATCAGGCTTTTATTTTTTCTTGGAGATTTATGAAGAAATAAAATTTCAGGGAAATAGCTGAATAATTCAATGCAGTAGTTTTCATCTGACGCAGGGATTCATATTCCTTTTCCGATCAGGGACCAGCAAGATTTCAAATTCACGTTGTCTTCCGCGTGCGCTGTGGAATCAACGGCAAAACAAAATCCTGGAAGTTACATTCACTTCCTGGTTTTCGGGAAATCCGGATTTGATCGCAAGGATGACTTGACCTCGATTGTTTCACGACTTCCCAACGTGATCCTAGAAGCAATGCCTGTGCTTGACTTCGTGCGTAATTCCAGCTTGATCCCCGTCGTGGAAGAGCTCATGCAGGTCCTACTCTCATTCATGAATTTTAAAAATTCCAAATGAATTTCTTTGATTTTTGAAAGTATTCAGCATTTTATATGAGAAAACAATTGAATGTAAGTAAAAGTAAATCGCAGGAAAATTGCAGTGCAAGGAAGAATTACTGTACGCTATTAAAGAACGATGAAAAAATATGACACGCATTAAAATAAAGCGGAGAGAAATAAGTTCTATACTTCCAGACGAACGAAGGTGACCTGTACATTTAATCCCTGAAAAGTCCGTTTCATTAAAATTAAAAAAGGAAGGGGTTATGCTGTATATAGATCTTCATGTGCGTAGGAAATAAAAAATGGAACAAGTACGAGGGAACAAAAGTACGAACTAAGCAGATACTTGGGAGACGTGCTGCGGTTTTACTTGCTTCTCGTACGCGGAGGAATTTATTTGGACCAGGACATCATATCCCTCAATGCTCTGAAAGGGTTTCGGAATGCAGTGGGTTGTCAACAACATTTCTGGGAGTTTCCGCCTGCCCTGAAGTGCCGACGGGTGAATTCAGGGGTTGTGGCCATGGACGCAAACCACAGGGTGGCCCGAACCATTGTCGATTACTATTCTTTTGCTGAAGTGAACAAAAGGCGCCCGAGGAATGGAAACAGCGTTTTGAACGATGCTCTGAGACATTGTCGGTATTTCAAGTTATTTTTGGGCTTGTTGTCCTTGAAAAACAATTCCGATAGTATAACTGAACCTAGGGTTTCTGGAAACGTAGTTTATTCTTCGGCCTGTCTGAAGATCTTAGGCATACAGATTTTGGATCCTTTGGCATTTTATCCAATTGAACCACATGAGATTAAAATGTACTTTGACCCGAGCCTCGCGGAAGATGCTTTGCATTATATTTCTAGAGGAGAAACCGCTCTAATACATTACTATCACAGTTGGGCTCAGAAGTATTACAATTCTAGTGCGGATGTCTTGATGGGTTCTGCATTTGCTAAATTAGCTGAGAGGAATTGTCCACGGACGTTCACTACGGTTTTCAGTTTACGAAAGAAAAACAACTGAGCGTATCACAGTGCACCCAATAATGTACAGTATACTGTAGTTTGTTTAAGGGGACAAATCCAGCAAAATCTCTCTTGTATAATTTTCCTGTGCGTTCAGCGTATGCAGGTTTCAACTGGTTGAGGTGAGTTACTGTACGACATTTGGCTTATTTCCTCCCAGGGCAAAAACATTCTTTTGAATGATGGAGATGTCCTGAAAAGAAGAAAAAAGAGAAAATGCACGTATATGCGCAGTTGCCATGGTGCAATGAATTCCAGGTTCGTTGTGCCCTCCCCGTTTCTCAGAAATCTCAGTGGGTCGCCTCATCCCCCCTCTACCTCAGTAACGTGTTCTTAAGAACAGATGCTTTGAAAACCTCAGGAAAACTTGATAGCCCCCGCCTCTCTTTCCTCCTCTCGTGTGGTAAACAAGATACTGTTGTGCAAGTTTCGGTACGCATTGCGTCATGCCCAGGCCTGCAATAACGATCTTCCGAGGTTCAGAAATAGAGAGTAGAATGTTTTGTACCTTTCCGGTATAAGTAAGAAACACAGCAGATGCTTCGTGTTTATTCGCGCACTCGCATTTGAACGGAAACGTGTTGCGCTCGCCAGCTGGGGGTGGGTTGTTTACGACGTGCATGTGCGTTTTCAGTTGCGACGCAGCTGGCGCGGTGTGTGTTCGCATGTGCGCGGTAGCTGTGCGGACTCTTTTTTTTTTTCTTAGCCTGTTGATTTCCTAGTTATTTCCCCGACTGTGGTCGTTGTGGGATCATGTGCATGTAATTCGTATTCATGTCGACACCAAAGATAAATGGTTCAGTTTCTCTCTTCTGTCAGAATTGGAAGATTTGGTTTATTATCTGTTTGCTGATCTTCGTGGAGACTTGAACACGTATTACATAACGTGTGAAGTAATTCAAAGACGGCCCCAGGTGCTCCTCTCAGGACTTCGACGGAGAACGTGATATGTGTCTTATTGTTACGGTGTGATGTTACTCGTGTTTATATTTTATATTCAGTTTCAACTTTCATGTCATGTTTAAATAGAAAGAATAATTTTGTGGGTAGGGTACTTTTTTAACGTTGGACATTCGCAGTATATAATTGTGATGCATTTTACTGTTCTTTAATGGCTCAGTGTGGAACTAAGCTCATTTTCCATAGACGTTGAAGGCTTCCGTGGGGACTTCGAGTTTGTCTCGGACATGTATTCGTCCAATAAACTGAACACCTTTAGTGAGCACGTCCTTTTTCCTTGTAACTTCAGGTGTATTTTTATCGCCTTGTGATATCTTCGGGACGTGTCGTGCGAATCATAGACGGAGAGCAAAAATGAAATTTCATCTGTTTTGGTTCATTGGTGTTCTTCTGCTAGCCCAAGGTTGGTGTTTGTTACTCAAGGAATTGATGCGGGACGAATGGCGTTCATTCAAGGTAAGATCATGTATTCTGATCGAATTTGCAATGCATGATAATGTACATTGTCTCATTTCTCCAATAGCTGACCCACGGTAAGAAATATGGTTCCCCCTTGGAAGAGAAGTTCAGATCCAAGATATATTTGGAGAACAGGAGCCGTATCGCCAAGCACAATCTCGAGTTTGCAGCTGGGCGACAGTCTTTCAGATTGGGACTGAACAAGTATTCCGATATGGTACGTGAACATCTCCGTGAATCTTGCTTTTATTGATTTGTTCGTTCTTTTTGTAGCTGCATCAAGAATTTGTTGCGACCATGAATGGTCTTCTTAAAGAAAGGCCTAGGAACCGTAAATTTCGTGGCTCCTCTTTTATTGAACCTGCATCTTTCACAACTCCTAAGAAAGTTGATTGGAGAGAAAATGGATCTGTAACACCTGTCAAGGACCAGGGACATTGCGGATCTTGCTGGTCATTCAGCGCGGTAAGGCGTTTTCTTGCCGAAATGGTAATTTATATTGATGATTTCATTTTGCTTTCTAGACTGGAGCGTTGGAAGGGCAAGTTCATCGGCGTTATGGAACCCTTGTGTCGTTGAGTGAGCAAAACCTTGTCGACTGCTCGACTCCGTACGGTAATCAGGGTTGTAACGGTGGTTTGATTGACTACGCGTTCAAGTACATCCTGGACAACGGAGGAATTGATTTGGAGAATTATTATCCATACATCGGCGAAGTATGTTTGCCTTAATTTTTCCCTCCTGAGTATAGTACTGTATGTTTATTTTCATGTTCAACAGGATGAAGATTGCAAATTCAAATCTGAGTACGTTGGGGCAACTGACAGTGGATTTGTGGATATTCCGGAGGGCGACGAATTAGCTTTGCAAAAGGCGGTTGCGGCTGTTGGTCCGGTTTCTGTAGGTGTGGATGCATCGCATGAATCATTCCAGTTCTACGCAAGTGGTAAGTTCTACGTCATGAATTATCCTGGTAAAACTTTTGTTTCGTTGAATATATCTCAACTCCCGAGTTTCGCAGAAAGAAATTATACTCTTGCGCGAATTTTCAGTCGCTCCGTGTAAAAATTTTACAAAATTCCCGCCCAGATTTAAATGTCGCACCACGATGTCTTGACTTCGTTTACAACGATCACGGGCTTCTTTTACGTAGTAATCTAATTTAGACCTCGTTGTAATTTTATCACATGGCTTATGTAATCATGATTTTCATCTTAATTGGAGGTATTTATCACGAACCAAATTGTTCACCTGACGACATTGACCACGCCGTGTTGGTGGTTGGATACGGAACTGATGAAGCCTCTGGTAAGGATTATTGGCTGGTGAAGAATTCCTGGGGAACTTCATGGGGCGAGCAAGGCTACATCAAAATCGCACGCAATGCAGGAAATCATTGCGGTATTGCCTCCGATGCATCGTATCCGCTTGTGTAGTATTGTTTTTTTGACGTATTGATGCTTGTTGCTGTGCAGTAATTTTGATGGCTGTGCTGGCACTTTTGATTTGCATGTCTTGCTTCTAACGCGCTTGATGCTTTTGTTGGTTTTTTAAGTTCTTGTGATTAATTTGGCATTCAATACACGAGAACTCAATTCTTCTGCGATTAATTCCGGGTTACTGTACTCATGCTGCGATACGGAAAAGTCTTGGTGGTGCTTCGGTATTTGGGCCCAAAGTACTGCAAGGAGCACAGGAATGTACCTGATTATCCTGAAGCCATATTTTAACCCGTGCTGAGCTGATAACGCTGCTCACGCGCTCTTCTTGGAAAATTCTGTCTGTCGATGCCTTTCTGTTCGTTTCAACCCCGCATTGTCAGTATTCCACGTAGAGACGACTCATGTGATGATGACTCATATCGTGAACGTGGTGATCGCATGCCTGCATTGTTCCTTTATCGGAAGTCGCATCACTGTGAGATTCATTGTCTCGGTGTTGACATCAGTCGTGCTTGCCTAGGAAACAAATTTCGCGCGTTTTTTTTGTAACCGCTACTGCTTCTCAAGTCTCTATAACAGGTGTACGGTTCATTAATATTGTGGAACTTGAACCCTGTGTTTGTGTGGGTAAGGTTTTGAATTTACTTCGAAGTTCGTTCCGTCGTATTTATCTGCTTCTTGAGCGTGACAGAGCAGTTCTTAGTCTACGAATGCCTCTTTTTGTGGGCATTAGTTGTGAAGTACGAAGGCTTCGAAATTTAGCCCATGAATTATTTGAGACCAACAACCAAGAGGTAATTAGTACGTGTACCCGGAAACCAAGGAGAAAAATCAGAGAAACGTTTTTCTAAATTTAATATTCGGAGATTGATGCTGATGCTTACCATATTACTGTATAAGGTTTTGGATGTTGAGACAAAGTGGGAATGCTCTGCATCGCCTAAGATTATTGAAAAAATAATTACTACTTCAAATAAATAGCGTCACGTACTTCTCAGTTGTGAAATGAAATATTTATAATATCGAGGCTGACATGTCGAACTGAGGTGAGGTGATGAACTCAGCGAAATTCTATTCATTTTTTCCCGGGGGGGGGGGGGGGGGGGGG